AAAGAGAGCTGTTTTGAAAGAATAATGCAAAGGTTTGGAAGGAAAGCTGTGTACATTGTAATAGGAGATGGTGTTGAAGAGGAACAGGGCGCAAAAAAGGTACATTTTGTAGATGCCATGCTGGATTCTTCCAATTTTCATTTCAATCACCCTTTCTTTAGCATTTAATGAAGCTCCCTCCATTTAAAACAGTTTACAATTGGTCTTATTTCTTAATATGCAAAATACTCAACAACCTTGTGAGAAATTTCCTACTGTAAATCCCCCCCACCTTTGCAGCTAGTGCAATTTTTCAGGTAGTTGCTGTGTCACGTGTTCCAGGAATCATTCTTGCTTAATAAAGATGGCTTTAAACACATGAAAAGGAAAACTCCAGTGTGTGGTCTCAGATGAGCAAGCAGGGTGAATTTCTGATCTACATGTGTTTCTTTTGTAAATTCCAAATTATTAGAATTAGTTTTGAATTACTTATTAGAATATGCGTATAGATATGTATTTGTATTGATGACTCCTTGAGATCATAGGGTTGAACGTTATTAGGGTGAATACCAAAGGGACTGGTACTGAGTTGCTGCCTTTATCAATGATTTATGTATTAATGTGATTAATTTCACAAGCAAAATGAAATTGGGAAGATTTGTGCTAAATACCAAGTAGAATAGAAACTGTGAAAGTAGTATGGTCAGGAGTAACAAGCCCTTGGTAATGTGTCGTGCTCACTGCATAGATGTGGCCCACTGGCATAAGTAGCCTTAGAATTAAATGGACTAACCTGTGCATTGAATTGAGTCCTCTGGTCATTAGTATCCACGGTCCACTCATTGGAAAATGAGAACTGGAGTTTTAGGGACCAGTTGAAGCTTCTTTGTTTTGAGTAGACTGTAAGAACCCCAGGTTCAGAGCATGCAAGAGAAAAAAGCAAAGTTTGAGAAGATCAAAGCCCAGATTCTGCTTACAGTGATTTGGTGTGGGGAGAAAAGATTTGGAGATCCAGCAAGGAATACCTTCTGCTATGTATAAGGGATATCGGTATATTAGAGAAGCCCAGGAGTGGTAGCAACATGGAGAGCAACAACCGAAGACCTGAAGGAAAGCAGTCAGGTGCATCAACTAAATTGTACAACGTGAGAATTTAATATCTAGAGTTTTCATTTCCTAAATTTTATAACAGAAACCTGCCTGGAATCTCTATTTATTTGGCTTTACAGGGACAGGAATACAATTTGTTAATGGCAAGCGTTATTTGCAAGATGTCTTTGTGCATCTTGGGTCTTGTGCTCCTGATGTGAATGCAGAAATAGGATTGAGTTGCTTTTGCTTCAGGAGCATTGCACGTGAGATGCAGGAACTGACTGCTTGAGTCCCATCTAGTTAATTTTAAATAGGCACATAGATGGGTGTTGTAGCTGAGGTGATGTACAAAATATTACATCACAGGAACTCAGCGCTGTACAGCTGAACTTTGTCCTAGAAGACCTGACATCTCATTCTGAATGAACATCCTGCAAAGAATTTCTGAGCAAATTTGAGCTCATTGGGTGCACAAACCCAGGAACAAAGGGATCCCAGCAAATAAGGTGATCAGTACATATTCTATCCCCAGAATTGTATCTTGCGCCATCTTCAAGGCAGCAGAAATCTTCATTTTTATAGTGTATTTCCCCTGGCCAATGGAAGCAACAATACCTGCCCCCACCTTGGAAAACTATCTACATCTGCAAATGGTTCTCTAGTTCATGAAGGGTTAAGGAGTTGTCAGGGAAGTGTCCAAAATGCATGACGGGGAGTGAAGTGATAATTGTCTGTTGCTTTTGACAGCCCAGTGCAGTACTTCAAAGGTAGTGGGTCAGTGAACATGACTGCATCAAAGGCTGCAGGGGCTCTCTGGCTCTATGAAGAAGGGGGAAGGTTCAACAGTCTTCTGTAGGCAGGATTTCAAGAACCCTCTTGCTTGTGTCTCCTGGCCTAAGCAGCTCTCCCATTAGTAAGGCACATTCTTTGCTGGGCTGTCACCTCCTTTGATTGATGACAATCATTAGTCAAGGCTTCTACACACCTGAGCTTTATATGGAAAAAAAAAAAAAAAAAGGGGGGGGGGGGCAGGCAGAGAGCCTTTCACTGTTTTGCCGACAGCACTGATAATATCTCCATTTTAGTGGGTCATTTTTCTTCACCTGTCTGATGAGTGATAAATCTTTAAATGCTGAACAACAGGAGTGGCTGGGAGGCCAAGTCCTCTTCTCATTTAAGAAGGAAAAATAGATATGTAATGGAAGGGGTTTAATAGCAGCTAGGGGAGGGAGAAGGAAGTAACTTTTCCCCTTAAAGTGAAATTGCAGAGCAATGGATTCCAGTCACTTCAGATGGCCATGTTGGCTTGCTGTCTCTACACACATTGATAAATAGCTTGAAGGAAACACTTGTTTACTGATAGGTAAAGTACCAGAGGGAAGCTTGAGTTGTATTTAAATGTTAGAGGAGTGTAAATAGACACTCTGTAAAATAAATATCTGGAACACACAGGAGGTTTTTTTTTTACACAGGTAGGTACACTTGGAACATCTCCCTCCATTAGAATCATCTGTCTAGGAAGCATATCTTCTCTAAAGCTTCCAGAAGCAGTATGTTTACAGTTGAGTTATTTACAGTGATAAAATGCTCCAAAATTTTATTCCCATGCTGGGAGGGGAGTAAGCTCTGTCAGTTAAGGCTTTCTGTACATTCGTTAGTGCATACATATCACTAACTGTACAGAGACTGGTATTTTGGGAGGAAGCTAAGAAAATCATAGTCCCAAATGTGGTTATAAACTCTTAAGTGCAGAAACGAGCTGTGTCTTCAATGTAAAGTCAAACTGCTGTAACTGTTTTGGATAAGGAACAAATCCAGCTCAAACCCAAGGGTCACCAGAACATACCAAGATAAGCTATATTTAACATCTAAAAGCAAGTTCTAATTATTTTGAGGTTATCTCTTAGCTACGATCCCCATGGTCACTTGCAATTGCTAGTGATTGCAGAACTACATTGCTATAATGATGCTTTCGGAGTACTGTTTGTACCTTACCAGATTACTACCTCAGGTCCCCTGTGTAATTGAACTGCACAGCACTTACAAAAAGTTGATACTTCGTCCTCTTTCAGATGGAAGGCTTCTTTCCTAGAGTATAGTCACATTTTTCAAGAGATTATCAGGATATTGTAAAAAAGATATAGTAGGTCACAGGTAGTTGACCTTTTCAGATTTTGTCCAGCTGTTACAATCTCAGGTGGAATTGGCTGGTTAGAACTTGGCCATTTGTATACATGACTTCAGATTTAGCACAGTAAATATAAATTGAAAAACAGGGAGGCAAGAGAAGAATATAAGATAGTCTGTCAAAAATAGGAATTAGGAGGTTGTTTGGGGACAGGCTGTCTTCGAACCCTGTCACACCTTTTTCTGAGGCAGCAGTGTTAGACTAAATGAGTAACTGATCTGTGCAGCGATACCAGTTCCTACTTTTACAGAAAATGCAGTATGACCTACTGTTCCAGTTAAAGTGGAAAGGGAATTGTTAGAAAGCATTTTGACTCTTTGTGGTATTTTATTCTTTTGTTTACATTTTATAAATTTTAATAACTTCCTTTTATGATATATATTGTTTACTTGTCTGTGAAGCACTGACAACAGCTTTCACTAGTGATGTTCACCTAAAATTGTTTCTAGCAATACTGCAATTCTAAAAACATTCCTAATTAAGCCATAAAAAAAAAAAGGAGAATAAAGTTTAGTAGCTAGTACATTCAGAAAGTCAGCCTACATCCTCCATCATCCTTGAAGCAGGACACACCCAAATTGTGGAGGATCTGTCTTCCTCTCTGCGTAGGAGAAACATAATAGACACTTCCCACTCCTTTCCTTCCTTCCTAAGCTAAGCCTCCTTGCCTGTGACACCATGATGGCCTGGTGGCCCAAGTACAAAGCTCTGTTCCCAAGGGTGCAAACTAAGAAAGTTGTTTTAATCTCAGTATTAAAAACCAAAAAAAAAACCCACCCCTCTTTTGGTTTCACTCTAGCACAACATGCCATTCTGGAGAATCTCTTGTCACGCTGACCTGGAAGCTCTTCGGCACGCCTTGGAACTTGAATATTTGTAGCAGACCCCAACATCTTAGCACTGTGAGGGCTTCACTCAAACTATTACATCGATTCCACCTATGCCTCAACATTTTCTTATTAAAAAAAAAATCCCACAGCAACTGCAGTTTTTCTTTTTTTTGAAGGAGAACCCTTTCAGGGGAAGCCTTTAAGAACTTGCAGCCAAAGAGCATTGTATCAAGTTCTTCCTTTGGACAGAGGAAAAGCCTTCAGATAACTCACTGGAGATCCTGCAGTTACATGGTTAAGCCGGATGCATAGAGCTGTAACTGCCTTTTGCCATCAACGACAAACACTAGTCTTGGGTCTACTTGTCAGTTTCTTGCTTTTGAAAGGGGAAGAGGACATAGTACGGAGTCTCTGCACAGTACATCACATCCCATGGGACCTTCTGAACATAAGAGTGAAACTGTTGATTTTTTTTTTTTTTTTTTTTTTAATTTATGAACTAATCTCATTACTCTGGTATTAAGCTCTGTACCTGTGTTTTTAATCTGGCTTTTTGGGGTGGGTGGGTGGGAAGAGGCTTACTGTTCTAAATTAATAGTTCATTTCTCCAGAACAAACTCTGGGGAAAAATCATATCGTGTACATTAATAATAATGACACATGGTACCATTGGTAAGAACTATAGCTGTGTTTTTAAATCTTACATAGATGGTATGTGGACTGTGCATGTGTCTACACTGTGCCTTATGCTGCCATCTTGGGTTTGGGGAAAAAGTACCTTGTGATACGTGAAAGGCATTAAATAAAAACATGTTTACATTTTGGGGGACTAGATTACCTGCCTTCTCTCCAGCCAGTCTTGGATCTAGAGGTAGGTGTAGAATACATGCTCCCTATTTCGAGGTGGATTAGGCCGGAAAGACTCTGAACAGAGCCCCTCGGGTGCCAGATGGAGCCTGTAGCCAGCTCTTCTCTCTCTTGCTGGGGCAAGGACTGAAGACGGTGACTGCGTCCGCTGGGAGGGAACGTGGGCGCTCAGCAAACCTAACTTGTCCTGCAAAGGAAGATAAAGGGCAAGCAAATACTGCAGCTGTGCATATTTATTTTGATGTAAATAAATGCATCTACAAGCAAGGTTCAGTTTTAGGATTTCTGCTGAGCTTGCCAGTTAATTCTTGCTGTCAAAATATTTCAATTCTCTGGGCTTGGATGAATCTCTAATTCATTTTCAAAACTGCTCTTGCTTGCTTGCTGTGGCACCAAGTGACCTCAGAAGGAGCAGAGCCTCACTGGAGCAAGGCGTTTGAGAGAGAGAGAGATGCAGCAAGTAATACAATCCCCTTATCTAGCATGTGTGAGTCAAGATCAAGTTAAGGTTACACACATTACAAGTGTGACACAAGTGCTACACAAGCCTGAGTGATACTCTAACGTCTAAAAACATTTACCTCAGGAAACAAGATTTGTTGCTAGATCTGAGAGGGGATTTTTCTGCCAGACTAAAAATCTGATCTCAAAATACTCTGATCTCAGTCTTTGGCTCAAAAGGTAGCAGCTGTAAAGCCTGTTAGCTGTACTTGTCAACAGCAGGCATGAACAAAAACAACCTTTAAGTACATGCTTGGGAGGCATTTGCAAAGAGCTGCTCACAGGGCTGAGTACAACACAAAACAAAATAAAATGTGATTTTTTTTTTTATTTTTTTTTTTAGCAAAGGTTGCTTGTCTCAGGGTCTGTGGAGAAGCAAGTCTGGCAGAATTTTTCCCCTCAAGGTTTTCCAGCTGTAGGACTGTCACAAATAGGAAGTTTTATCAATCACAAGTCAAGGAAATCAAACTCAATGGAGAAGTGACTGATGCTTGCAAGATAAGCATACCTGTAAATAGAACCTTTGAAAGAGGACTGAATGCCTGGGATGGCAGACTCCTAAGAAGGCACAGCTTCAGCTTGTAACACCCAGCCAATCAGCTAATTGCTTTTCCTTGACATTCCAAATTTAACACCTGCCTTGAGTCAATTTTCTGAGTACTAATTTTTTTTCCTAAAGCTTCTTAGAATATTTTGCTTTTATAGAGTCTCAAGCTTTCTTGTCTCTGTCTCCAAAGTTCTCGGCAGAGGCCTGTGCTCTGTTAGTGCCTGCTCGTGTTCTGTGTTCCATTGCTGTAAGTGATTTCTCCATATTCCTCCCAGCTGACGATTTTTACTCACCCACAGGTAAGACAGGTGATGTGCACCAGCACTAGGAACGCTTGTTTGTCAGACAGGCGTACCACTTCCTTCCAGTCGCTGTGGCACATACTCATCTCTCGCTACAGCAAGAGTGTCAGAATTTGCTGTTCTAGGGCATCTGGTAGCTCAAACAGGAGATCTCTAACAGCTTTTTACTCATGAGCATACAAAAGGCCTGAGAACACACGCACGTAAAGGCCTTGCTCAGCTCTTTCACCTGTGTTTTTATGTATTTGTACATTATTAATTACAGCGTAAAATCCTTTCTTGGTCGCATCACTAACCAGAACTGAGTACAACTATGATGTGACATGGTTCCCAGATAAGTTGCAGAATAGCTGACTCTGAGGTGAACAAACCAAGCAAGTCATGTTAGTACTATTATTAAAATGTGGAGCTGATACCAAAATCTGTCAAAAAATGTTTAGTGTGTTAGTTGATGTCTGAACCTCTAATACAGACTTTTTGTATTTTAAATAGAAAAGGGGACGTGAAAGATGCAGCTGATGAGATAATGTGGGTTGAAGTCTGGGACTGTAAGCGTGATGGTGTAGCAGCTGCTATCACAGCTTCTTTATAACACGTGAAGGACAAAAATACTTGCCCAAACAAGAAGAAAACCCAGTCCCATGTGTACACTGAGGTGACATTCATCACATTTCCTAGAGTATCCTTTGCTCTATCATTTCCTCGCAGATAACTAATAGGAATACAATGCTGCAGAGTAAAAGAAATCAGCTTTTCAAAGTCACCGATTACTGATTGCTAATGCTCCATAATTTTATCTTCAGCTCCTTTCTATGCCATAATCTTAACAGGTTTGCTAGTCTTTTGTAAAGGAAGCAGAGCCTCACCTGGCAGCCAGGGCGAACGATTCATTGCAGGTGTGAGCCTCTGCCACCACATGGGCCTGACACAGGTATTTCATTTCTGACAAATCCAGGACTTCTAATGCTCATCCTAGAAGCAGTAACAACCTGCACCTCACATCATGTCATGCAAACCCCTTAAAGGCGTTCATTCCAGTTCAGCTGTAGCAGAGCAGAAGAGCCACATTGGACCCTGCTCCAAAAGGGTGAAAAGCCATTTTCAAGCAGATGGCAGGTATTACAGAACAGAGCAAAGCTAAAGGTTCTCCATGAGCGGTTAAGCTTCCATCCGACACACTGGCTTGGGACAGTGTCACTGTGGCAGTGACAGTGCTGTGGTTAGGAGCAAGGTGACACCCATTGATCAGAGCAGCAGCCTTGTGCCAAGCTACTGCAGCCACTGTGGTGCCTCTGTTCTGGTCTGTCCAGATAAGCACTGTGTACAGATGCTGAAAATGCCATCAGAAACAGCAACCAGCCTGCCCTGTTGGTTTAGTAAGGCTGCCATCAAGGAAGGAAACCCGATTCTGGTTTTTCCTCAGGAGCAGCTGCTGGTTTGGAGTTGTTTGGGGTTTTTTTTTTCTCCCCAACAGTGCAAGGCAGACTGATGCTTTTGTCTTTTATAATAGAAACTGGATTTCAGTTACCAGCAAAGGCAGACAATACAAACTGTTTGCAAAATATTTTTACAGCACTTTAAAGGTACTTTTCAGGCTACTGCAGATTCGCAGCATGTTTACTGTTTGCATTTTCCAATAATTTCCTAAGAAAATGAAAAATTTGGATAATGCAGGTTGCCTGTTTGGGGCAGGTAGTTCTCAGAGACAGGAGAAAAAAATCTGACCTTCAGTTCTGCCTGTGCTTTGGCCTGGCTAAAGCTCAGGTATGTTCCCGATCTCAGGGCACCTCATCTGAGGCATGGTATGCATATATACGTCCTTTCAGCCTATACGGTGTGACTTGCTGCACTGCACCCACATAACACTGCAAAAGCCTGACTGATCCCCACCACACACCTGCTCTTCCCCCTGTCCTTTTCAGGTGAAGGACTGAAACAACATACCTTGTTTTTTCCCCACATTAGCCTCATCTTGAGGGCTCTCCACCCATCTGCTCTCACCTGCCACTTCTGGTAAACTCTGGATTGCAACACAAAGTAAATACAGCTCTTAACAACCAAAGAGACCCACTGAGATGACAAGCACCAAAAGAGAATACCTTTGTGGGCCTCTCTTCAAACATGCAGTCGTTCTGGTAAACCAGGACCTGGATCTGAACCATTTCTGAAAAGGGCTTTGACAAAAAGCACACTTGGGCCTTTGCCCAGATTTGAATAGTTCAGGTGCAGCAACAGAATACAACGTTTTGTCAAATAACCAGAAAACTACGAAGCAAATAGTTGCAAAGCTACATGTCATCATTGGGGCTGGAAGAACAAGTTGTAATTATGCGATGGTACCTGTTCCCTGTACTGACTGCCCTTGCGGTTCTCCCGGTGACCTGAGGGCAGCCGGGCTGCCAACACCTCCCTCTGCCCCAGGCAGTCAGGGTCTCTTGGGTCGGTCCCGGAGCTCTGGTGTGACAGCCATCTCACCCAGGAGTGGTAGGTAAACTAGGCAAACAACCCCCATTCTCAGCAGTTTGCCGTTTCCCTAGGAGGTACACAACTGGGCGGGTAAGCACAGTAGAGCAGAGGTACTCAAAGAAAGAGTGGGATTTTGTATTAAAATGATTTTTTAAAAGGGAAGAAGACTAGAAATCTCATTGTTTCTAAAATGCCTTCAGTTAAGGTGCAGCTGTACAACCATTTTAAAAACTAGCTGCTACAATTCACAATGAAAGGGTGACTATTCAGAGGGACATTGATCCCCTGGTAAAGGACAAAAATAAAAAAACCCACCCCGTGTTCAATGAGCTATAGACTAGCCTCTGAACTGGCACATCCGTGCTGAGGAGGATGAAAAACTTGGGAGCCTTTGGCTCCTGATGGACTGTGTTCCTCTTGGCTGCTCCGTGTTCCTCTGTATCACAAGCACATAAAGGTTTAAGCGCTGAAAAGCTGACTCAGCAAGCACCAGAACGGTAAGGTGAGGGCACAAGTGATGGCATGCGTAGCCCCTGCACCATCCAGCCCACAGAGCTCTGCTTTGAGCACAGTGGGCTCCCTGCAGCCAGACTGTGGCTACTGCCCCTCTTGCAGCTGGGGCAGTGGTCCAGCTGTGTCTGCTCCAGGCATCTATACACGGACATCAGGCTTCTGCGGCGCAACCTTGCTGTGGTAAACTCCATCTGGATCATATCCTTTGGGGGCTAAACAAAACCTCAGAGCACCCTGACTGCGCTATTGGTGCCTACGTTCTGACAGCATAGAGTTCCTGAACGAAGACTAAAGCTAGGAAAACACTGCCACCACTTGGTCAAGCTTTGGAGTTGACTGGCCCGGATAAGAACACCAGTGCCACTCCTCCCCTTCTTCCTAACTGATAATGGAAAATAATAATAATACAGATTTCTAAGCTCAGACTCCAAGACAAGTTAATTTCGTCCCCAAAAGCAGAGGAATCAGCAGTAACATGCCCACATGTCTTTCAGTAGCTTATAACAGAGGACGGCAAACACTCGGGATGCCCAGTGCCTGTAGCCGAAGGGTGAAAAGCAGTTTTCCCAGCATGGTATATGGTCAAAGAGGCTTTTTGTTACTTACAATCTACTGCCCCTGGCCCCCATCAACTCAGCACCTCATCATTGGCAGCACCTTTGCAACTAGACTATGACAGGACTGAGTGAGGTGCCACAACTGATGAACCATCACAAGTAAAAATAATTCCAGACACAGCACAGTATTTTTTTCCCAAATACTTGGATCCAAAATAAACAAGGGATACACATAGGGTACAGGGATACTCTAGACACAAGCGATGGATGCAGCTTATGCCCAGTCATGGTATTCAATCATACAGGAAATAGTCATAGCCTGTCTTTTAAATTCACATCCCATCAATGTCATCTCCTTCCATAATGCCAGAGATGTGTTCTTCATTCATTTTAGTTAGCACAAAATAATCTTCAGAAAAACAATGAACTTCATACTGTAACTAGCCAAAATGTGGAAAAAGTAGTGTCACCAGAACATCCAAGATGATAGTTTGATCTTGACCTGGTAACTCTAGTTGGGAATTACTATTTTGGATTCATATAAATCTTTACTAGGATTTGTCACCTATTATTTCTCATGAGGAAAGAAAATTTTATAGAGAAAGCAATGCTCATTACAAGAAAAAAAACCCACAGGTTGCACCAGGCTTCAGAAAGCAGCATGGTTTCCTGTAACCATTTTTGACTTGTTCATCTCTTTCCTTTTTCCTCCCAACACGAGCTTGTTTCAGCAGCACCAGGATTCGAGTCCCGTGAGGAAGGCCAAAACACCATTCCAAGCTTTCAAGACTTGTTTCCAGTGCCACTGTTTAAAGAAAAGCACATTAACTTTAGCTGTTTTACAAATGCACGTAACAAGGTAACTACAGGAGTAGGAACTTTAAGACCACATTCATAGCACCATTTCACAGCGAGCTATTTCATTAGCTCCCCATTTCTTCTAACGGACACGTAAGGTGCACACAGCAGTCTTGCCCAATTTGTGTCCTCTTGGAGGGCTACAACTGTGCTCAACACAACAGTCCCCACTTCGAACTGACAGCTACACCTGACAAGACTACGCACATCAGTCCAGCCCCAATCCAAGCAGCGCATAAATGTTCCACAACAAGCAATGGACCTTTGCTGCTGTTAAGAGTGAGAGAAAGCGGATGCTACTGAGTTTTATACATAAATGGCTGCTGCTTTACAGACTGCCAACACTACTTTGTTTTTTCTCAAACTTGACAGGCTTGGACTCAAAGGTCCCACACTTGTGAGACACAAGATCCCAATGTAAGTGAAATGATCTATGGTCTGGAGAGTGTGCAGAAATGGACATTCATCCAGATTGAAAGGAAACTGGAAATCCAGGAACACAGAACATTTTTCTAAACCAGTTTAATAAAAAAATTGTGAAGTTTCTTGAAAAATTGGAGAAACCCAAAGCATATCGTGTGTGTCACCTGTCTTAGTCACAAAGAAACACAATTGTCAAAAAAGATATTTAAGTTTAATACAAATTTTATACAAAGAAAATGTGAAAAAATACTTCCATATGCTAAAAGCAATTATGCTTCACAAATAAGGCCAGCTAGGCTATTTTTGACACAACTGCAATTCACGAATATTCTGTTCTCGCTTTTTTTCTCTAATACTCCTTTCCCTCTAATATGGGTACTAGCTGGAGACTGTACAAACCGCATTCTTTTATAAACAATGGGAGAAATCAACATGACTAAAATGTACAACAGAATGTACTGGAATGATATCATACAATTAATTTTCTCATATACATAACATCACCTTTGCTTTGTTCAATGCTTTCGTTTTACACAACATACAAAATGGTACTACAGTATAAGTGTAACAGACAGCATTTTCAGGGGTTACTTTCTCTCATACTGTACTGTTTCATGCTTACATAAAAACATAAATCCATCATATAAATAATACATGCTCTGGCCCAGCATCAAAAGTCCTTTGCCCATGTTTCCCGATCCATGTTTTTCTCCACACCTAGTTCTTGTTCCATTCAAAAAGCTTTTCAAAGTCCTTTTGGAGGATTTTAAAAGAAAACTGAACTGTGAAGCATAGGAAAAAACTTTACTTTTCTCAATCATTGTTACCAATGATCAGAAATTCCGCTACAACCAGCGGGTATTACGCTTTCCAACTTTTCTGATATCGGACTGAATGAAATTTTAACTTAATCTTAACCTGTAAACAATATAAATGTTAACAGTCTGGTCATTGTAAAAAACAATGTAAATCTTTATGTATCTCAGGTCCACAGATTGGAAATATTATAATTTGCCTACTACAATTAACTGAAAAGATACCCTTCATCACTTGGTTGCCCAAAGAAATTCTACAAGAGTTTCAAAGTGCAGAATTTTTTTTTCTCAATCCAAATGCAAATCAAGTTGTTCAGATTCTCATGATTATATTATTTGATGCATAACTGCAGTTTCCCAAGACCAGTTTTCAGTGTTAGCTTGTGATAAGGCTGGTTTAAACCTTCCTTTTCCAACTTCAAACGCTCTTTATAAGTTAAAGTCAATACAAATATAAAAAGGAGATGGTACTCTAATGACATCCACAAATTGTACATTATTTACAAAAGAAGCATAGATTTAATATGGATCTTACCTGTCCTCAGCTTTTCTAAGCCAGCGCTAATGCTTTACATTAATGTAGTGTAGTTAATGCTTTGTACACATATACAAAGCTAAAGTCTGAACCTTTGAGGTTAATCCAAAGAACTCTGTTTATTTTTCACATTTCTATTAATTTATTTATTCCAACAATTGTATGGACTTCTCGTTAGCAGTTAGACTCTTCGTACTTGGACTGGCATTGTGGTCTGAACATACTGAACTCCAGTTCTCATTGCCACTGTCCCAGCAGAAGGACTTACCACTACAGGAATGGTCTGTGGATTAAAACCAAGAGAAACATATTGTTATGTTAAAGGTCACATAAACATGACCACAGAAATAGAGATTTATTTTTTTTTCCAGGGAAAATCCAGAACAAGTTCCAATTTTGTGCGAGAATTAATACCTTTATTACCGCAATATGACCTCATTCCAGGGTAGAAAGTAGTGTATTACTTTCCTATAGCCAAGAGTTTTTCTGTCTTATTATTACTACTACTATGTAATTACAGGGACAGGTGGTCCTGTAGGTACTGTACCCACTCGGGCTGTGCTTGGAGAGTTAGGTTTTCATAGTTACATCCAGTTATGTATTTTCCCCAAACTAATACATGAGAAGAGGAAAAAGGGCTAAGAAAATCCTTTGTAATTTGAAAAAGTTTTGACAAATCAAACTGGAGTACAAAAATACCCTTGTTTATAAGTATATCCTTGTTACACATTACTTAAATCTTTTTCCCCAAAAGGAACTCCCCCATGCATTCAGTCTACACAGAACAAAGAACAACCATCTGAACAAAAAAGTACTTAAGTTAACTTTTGCACAAATAACAAAAACATCAGCATTACTGGGAACTGCCTTATACACCCTGTAAAAATATTAATATAGAATAAGCTTTTCACTTCCATCATACAGATCATGATTTATAAATCTCAACAAATGAAGTTTCAGGACATCTCTATAGGTGGTCATCGATTCTACAGATGCAGAGACAAAGGCACGAGAATGTTAAACAATCTGGTCACCGTCACATCACTCTGGAAGATCTGGAAAAGGATTTATTGAATCTTAAGTCTGTATCTGAACCTTCCTCCAGAAGTGTGAGAAAGTCTAGAAATGCCTACAGCATACAAACTGCAAGTATGTTTTGGTACAATTCCGTGATGCACAACCGGTGATCAAACGCACGCATCCATTTCAGTTCACAATATTTTGTGGAAGAAACAGGAAGTGAGATTTTGAGGAATCTGAAAGGGATGCACAGATCTTCCCCTGATGGTGGTGTGACATTCCAGAGAGAACATGGAAGAAGAAATACAAGTTCACTGGAGCCCAACGTTTCCCCACACTGTTTTAAGAAACCACATTAGTGTCTTAATAGTATTCAACAAAGATTGTGAGTATCCCTACTGAGATGGATTCCAGCCTAGAGCGTTTATCAGCTCCTTTGTGAGAAAGTCTATGCCTTCCAAAAGCCTACTCATTCTGTTCCCTGGAATGCAAAGATGATGAATTTATATTTTTACATTATTTTAACTGCAGAAAGAATAAAAAAACAAATATGGAACCAATTTGCTAAATAAATTCAAGATTGCTGCCATTTTGTAATGATTTCGGATGTGTACACAGGGTCCCATGGAAATGGTACCCAGAAGATATAGTGGATGTTGTTCAGAGGAAGGAATTCCTAGTTGGAAACAAAGTGCAAACTGAACCCTAAAGAAGCCATTTTATAAGTCACTATTAGTACTACAGGTGGGGAAATTAAGGTTGCCACAGTCGCCTTTTAAATATACATACTTACACAAGTGAAAAAATTAAGTTTCAGTTCTACTGATCAGGATATGGAATGTGTGAGACTCCTTAAATGTGTTAAGATCATTCCCTGAGAGGTAAATTTTCCACCTCTGCCAGTTTTACACATATGTACATTTTGCATACATATTAAACATGCACTAAGGTTTAAAATTATTTAAATTGCACGTGCAGTCATTAGAATACAGAGGTGTCTGTAGCTGTGCAAGACTAATGCAAATGTGTACAAAGTTTTAAACATGCACAAATAAAGGTTGAAACTTTTCGGACGTTCCAATTATGCTTTACATAACTCAATACACTTTGAATTACAGAAAACCCAAGAAGGTAACTGCCATTTTTCTGAATATTACACAAAACCGTCTGATGATCTTACCACCTCTCAGCTATTCACAAAAGAGCCTAACGTCTTTGATGTTTGCTATTTGATTTTAAAACACATATAAAAACTTCTTGTTATGGTAATTCAGTCCAAGCAACTTAGGGCCAATGCTGTGAAGGTGCACAGTGCTCTCAGTTGAGACAAAATGAGTCGAGTTAAAATGCTGCTAGGAATGTGAAAAGTCATGATCCCCACTAAGAGCGCTTCTGTGGTATAGAATGGCTATGAAATACTGTATGTGTGTGCATGTGCATGTATCCATAGATACACACACACAGAGGCAGGTCTCCTGCAGCTGGGGGGTGGGGTGTGGGGGTGTGCACGTGGGTGTGTGTACACAAGGAGAGGGAAGGAGAGAGTAACTTCCGTAGCAAATTAGGCCTCACAAACACAGTGTGATTAAGGTACACTGTTAAATTACTACATAGTTGTTGTTATAAATTATCTAACTTCAGTCACCCACACACGGGCTTCTGTGTTGAACCCACCAGAGACAGGGCATGCCGCTCAGTGACCAGTGTGGTATCAGCGGGTCTCCTTTTGGTAAGAAGAATGTCAGCTCAGATGCAGTGCTGACTCTGAAGCAAGCACTACAGAACACAACCAGCTGAAAGAATGGGATATTCTGGTGCATAAAATACAAAAATCAAACTCACTTCTGTCCCATCTCCTGTGACTGAAACTATGGAATTCAAGTGTCCTTGGTAAAGTCTTTGATGGAAAAACCCAGGTCTGATTCCAATGCCATTTCTCATAATTTTGTAACGCTAATGTGCAGGACTGCATGGGAGATACGCTGCTGCTGAATGCATATTTTCTTTCGTAGTTACTGAGATGTCACAGAAATATCAAGCATAGCTAAGAATTAATTAAATCTCTTTAGGATACCATAGACAAAAAGATATTTAAAAGATATTTAAAATTAATTCTATATATTTACATTGATGTTGTGGTCAAGTATATACATGACACTGACAAATAACTAACATAATAATGTAAAATGGAAGTCTGACTGTCCTCAGTGCTTTTGCTATACTTAATGACAATTTCTGAATCCTTGTAATAACGAATGATGAAATGAAAGGGTGGAATGTTGCATGGCAAAATAGGACATTTTGCACTGCAAGTTGAGACTATACCAGTGAATTCATTTCTTGATAAAACAGCAGACGGAGACAACCCCCCAGAAATACTGAGCAATTTTAATGCCAGGAACAGCACTACTGCAGACTTTAAATGATGATATTGTACTTACAATTGTGGGTTGAGTAGTTGGAATATAGGTGGTGGTCTGCGGTACCTGGACCAGTTTTATAGGCTGGTTGCTTGTCACACCTGTTGCTATCTGCAGAGACAGCACAGGCAACCTCAGTAGAAGTCTCAGCTCTTACATAAATTCCACCTAGTTGTTATTATTATTATTATATGAAATTTATGTTGGATGTTTTGTTTGTGTTAAAAATTTGCATCTTAATGAATTCACAGGTTACTTCTTTGTTAATAAAACAAAATTCAAATTATGAACATGATCAATGTATACAGCATGATGTTTCAGGTAGAACATCTACGTGAAAGCAATTCCAGATTTGTATAACTGGAATATTCCCTGGGAAAAGTTTTAGGTAATTGATTTTCTCCCATCCCCTATTTCCCCAGTAACAGAAAGGTAGTGCTGCCACAAACAATGCATATAAACATTGACTGAGCCAGAGTTTAACTAACTTCACCAAAGCATTCACGTGGAACAGCACATCCTTTTTTCTCTCTTCAAATCTGTTTCCCAAGTTACTCCCTTAGATGACACGTCAAGCCCAGAGATCTAACACCAGACAGTAGCAAAAGTGTCAAGAAATGAACACAGCTCTCTAGTTTACTATGCTTCCCAATTCTATAGGACTATCTCAATGAGACATCATGCTGGAATCACAATACTACAAAATTAGTTTGCTTTTAATATTTTAAAATACAACAAGGCTCCTACTGACGTGGGGGATCATGTGTAAGGGTTTGAAGGATCACCCCCCCCCCTAAAATTTTTCATTTAATAAATCTTGCAAGGGCAGAAGAAAAACGATGCTGAAATTGCTAATAGTCAAGCCCTACCTATGAAGCAGATTCTTCTCTATAAACATTTTCTATATATGCAATGTTAAGTCCCTTTTATTAGAGCGTTTGCTCATCCTTGCCTACTGAATACTATCAGAGTAGATGCTATGGAGGATTTCGTAACTGCACACTGCTCCGTTAACTGTAGATCCAGGTGAACTGTTGTATCAGTGTTATGGAACATTGTGGTACCCTAGTGGCAGTCTGTTGTGATAAAGTAAGTTGATTTGAATGCAGGTCTTGAGCTTGGCCTCTGAACCCCCAGGCAAGAAGGGCTTGGAAGTGCTGCAGTCAGTATTGCTTATCAGAAGGCAACTTGTATCGAAAGATCCAGACCAGAAGCTACACTGATGGGTCCTGGAGAGAGAGAGAGAAAGAGGTCCAGTCCCCTTTGGCTGGAAGGATGAGTCAAGCCAACACAAAGATTTACTGGGAATGAGTGAAGGGGAAAGGGTGTTCCCAGAGGACAGAAGGAGATTTTTTTTTGCCAAGATGAAGAAAAAAAACCACAACTCCCTATCTCAATCCCCAAATCATACTCTGAAATATGCAAATGGTCATAAATTCCTGGCTGATCCAGGGAAGCCATTGGGGGTAGGTTTCAGAGAAAACTTACATACTGTTTTTGTTTGAAGTGACCACAATGATACTCACTGTAACACTCTCTTTGCTTTTATCAGCTGAACCTTCCTTTTCCTTAGGGGTGCTGGCTGTTTCTGTGGTTGTAGGCTGCACACTTGAACTGGGCTGGGATGATTTATTTAATGTTTCTGTGCTAATTTCATTATCTGTTTCTTGCTGTGTTGCAGTAGCTAAAATAAAGGAAAAGAGAGAAAGTAGCCGCTACTTGTGTGTACCGTCCACAGTCACTCTTCACAGGCCCATCTGCACCCACGCAAATGGTGAATATTGTGTCACTATGTGTTCCACCCACCCTAACCCCCTTAAGTTGTGAAACAGCCAGCCCAGAACAAGATTACCTGACTGTGTGCAAGATTTCATATGCTCAGGCCAGTGAGCTTGTTGGCAGGGATAGTCACAGTAGCTAGTATTCCAACAGCAATAAAAAATGGCCTCTTTCTTGCAGTTAGCACACCACTGCTTCTTTTTAGTTTCATCCACTGCTTGCTGCTTTTCCAGTTCCAGCTGCTTCTTCACCTCAGCAATCAAACGATCTCGTTCTTGTTCTAGACTCTGACGCATTTCAGCCATTGTCAGTTCTACTCAAAACGCAAAGGAAGATGAGTTTTCCATTTTCCACCCCCCAACAGCAAGGTGCAAAACACTGATTTTCCTGAGTTTAAAGACAACATGAAATTAAAACTAACAATCAAAATATTCCCCAAGTTTGAGATTCCCATGTTTCATACCTACTCAACAAATGGAAGTCTTTCATCTTCTTTTCTTACTCTGGCACCATGATTGTTACCCTTCACCATTACTTTCTGTTTAACTCTTTAGTTATAGATTTCCCACAAAGGATCAGAATCCAGGTGTACCATGTGCAGCATAAACACAAAAAGAATGTACGCAGCTGCTGCTAACACACCTTGTCTTTACAAGCCCAACCTTTTGTTCTACTCCAATATTCAGAAAATACAGAGAATTCTATTTCTTTTCTCATAAGTAAGTAACAGCGAATCAATTGTTCATTGTATCTTGGTTTCTTTACAAAGAAAAACGTGGAAGTTCCAAAAGGAACATTGATATGAATAAAGCTGTAAATTTGAGCCTTACTTCAGGATTGCTTTGAGCACCACCTGCAATTAACGCAGTTATAAATTGATATCTCAGCCACTATGAGTGACTATGAGTGAAAGAGAGCTTGACAAAATTTTCAAGGACATGAGCAAATACAAATAAAGCATTCCAATTCTACAGCCACCTTAACTCAGGATGAATCTTTTGAGTCTACTGAAAAACTCTGAAGTTGCCGTACTTTCAAAAGACCATTAAAAGGTGTTTATTTACATCAGTAGCTTAAGACTGGTGATAAAGGGTTTAAAGGATTTTTCTTTTACTTCTGAGCACACCTACACATTCAGTTCTGTGAGCTGCAGATGAGTTGTTGCCATACCCAAGTAATTCTGAAGAATGCCACAACTGGATTGCAGCGGTGGAAAAAACGGTCTGCCCTGATTTGAAAGAGCAAGATGCTACTAACAAACCAAAGACGTGAGTCTGAATGTGGAGTTATTCAGCCCTTAATTTACTTCCATTTCAGATGCGCTCTGCAAAAAGAGTCAAGAAGTGGACTAGGACACTGTATACACAGTCCTAAGGCTGTTTGGATTGTATGTAGCGTAAAGAAGACTTGATCACGCAATTGCAACCTTCTCCCCACAGTGCATTAAAAAAAAGATAATTTAAGAGGAATCACAGTTTAATCATGGTTTAATTTCCCACCCATATGGTTGAGTGAATGTAGAGATTAAAATCCCCCTCCTAGGAGGAATAGTCTTTTATCTTTTTAAGGCAGTATTTTGACTTTACTTCACTGAGTCTGGCACCAAGATTGAGTCCAGGTTGTCTATTCACTTTAAATAAATAAAGTATATACACCAACAGCTGATCTGAACCAAAGTGTCAGCTACAACCTACAAAGATACCAGAGGAAGCAGTTCCTCCAGTGGCTGTGTTAACAGAACCTGGTTCATATGAGAATACATATGAAATAATCAGCATAAAATACCTCATGAAGAGGGATTATCCAGTGATGCATAAAACAGTTGTTCTTTCGTATCAAAAGCTCTCTTTAACCTAAATTTGTCTCAGAGGGCCGAACGTGTTATTTAATATGCACAGATAAAGTGACTTTGTGTACATTCTCAAATGTGTCTGCTAACATCAGCACAGCACATTATATAAGGTTTTCTGACCTTCACTTGGACAATTAGTGTCATACGATGAAGGTAAGACATACTACAAGCATTTGGATTTTCCATTTAGGACAAAAAACTGATACAGTATTCTGAACTGCCATTTTCATACCTAGATTATGCTTCATTTCTGAGAGTTCCTGTTGATGTAACCATTGAAGTTTTTCTATCTCAATCCTCAAACGCCGAATCTAAATAGTAAAAACTTAATAGTTAGCAATAATAAACAGGGTGCAGTGTATAATACATAATTATTACACAGAAAAACATGCCCAAAGCAAAGAGCCTGATCGTCACTTGCATCAAGGCTCCTTCATATTAACGTGAGAACAAGACCATAGTAAATCCCAAACCAAAGTCTGAAGTATTGTAAATATTTGTTTGCTAGATGCACTTACCATAAAAAGTACAGGATTGTTTCAAAACAAAAAGAACTTCTAATAAACTTGCTCTTGCTTCCTCTGAAATTAGTTGAGTCTCAGATTTCTCTGACTGGAATCAAAAACCTATTTCTCAGTTTTGTTTGCATTTCTTACTATGAATTTTTTTTTAAACCTAGATGAGGCTCAGAAAAGGAAGTTTTTCATTCACTATGGGTTGGGAATACAAATATCATTGCTCAAAATTGTGACTTCCTTATTTTGGTTAAAATGAGCAAACAAATCATCACACTTTTAACTCTAAGTTTTATTTGTTCACAGTCATACTTGGTTTACACTGCTTAATCTGCTTTTTCTAAGTTTAAAGAAAACACTTAAAAGATACTAAGTACTACCTTTGGAGACAATTAAAAGCAATGTATAGCATTTCATAAAATACTGGAATAAGCTACTACACTAGAAGTAAATTAAAATCTTCTTCCTCTTTTGGACAAATACTTGGTCTAAAAAAATTGTACTTTCAACAAGACTACTTCATTTCTGATTTTAAGCAGGGTGCCACAAAATTACATCCTCAAAAGAAGCTTTAAGGATCTGGGCTTGATGGCTTACTGTTTATTTTCCAGATCCCACCCTATATTTTTTCAGTTTTTTTCTCCACCACTGTAATCATTACTTCTAAAACAGCACATAAATTAGGATCTCTAGACGTTCTCAATATATAATACTTTGTAGGTATAGTTATATTGTACTTTTATACATAAAAATACTATTTTGCAACTTTCAGAAGTAAAATACAAGCAGTAGTGAGTTTTTTTAATCTTACACTAACCTCAGCTATTGTACTTCCAGTAGTATTTTTCGAAAGATCATTATATATTTCAGTCATTGTTCCTTTGATGGCATCCATCATCTGAAACAAAACAATAACAAAAATTATTTGATATATATTTTTAATAGATACCCGCTTTCACTTCCTTTCAACCACTTTAATGTGAACTTACATTACCCTCAACAATGACTCATAATCTCTCTATATGCTTACCTGGGTCTGCTTTTAGAGAACTATTTAGAAGGTAGAACACAACACTTTTGATCAGGACTCTGATTTTTAACTGTCCTGAACTGGTGAACTGCTTGACCTTCCACTTTTCAAAGAAATTGCCATTGATATAACAAAAAAATATTACCATGAGTTTGGGGAAGAAACTCAATGCAAAAAAATTAAAAAATGAAAAAACAAAAAAAGATGTTTACTGACATTGCTGACCACTGCCAATCCCACCAAGACCATATGGTTGAACAAGAACATTGAAACTTCACAGTCAGGATTAATTCTAGTGCTTTTAATGCCTGGATACTCAACTTTATTTCCTTATTTAGTATTCACCTTGATTTTTTAATTTAAAGATCTAAAAGAGTATATGAAAAGCTAATGTCCCATCCCTCACTGTCACTATAATGATACAAGTATTACAGCACATATTCTAACAGCTTCTGTTTTAATACATGAGTACACACCTATGACAAGTTACCATCTGATGAAGCTATACAGTATTTTAAAATCTAAGTACATTTTTGTATATATATTACTGGGCACAGATGAAGAAATATTAATGTTTACTCTAAATATGACACTGACGGGTTATTTACACCTTTAGGAGAAAACACAGAAAATGGTCCAAACCACAATGCAATGTAAGAAGCGGCAACGGGGGAACATGAAAAGCAAAGGGTTTCAAGTGTCTAAGCAGCTGAAGCCTATCATATACACACTGGCTTGGAATGGCAGCATTCAGTCAGCTCTAAAATGATGGTCAGCACTCTTGTCAAAAATCTAACAGTTCCTACCTAGTAGAATGAATATGCAACATATGACAACCTGAAAATAAAGCTATTTCAGAATTTGAAATTTCAAAAATGTGGAAGTTTACTTCAAAATAAAATGTCAAGAAAACCTTGCTCAATAACTTACTTTGCTAGTATATTTAGCAATATCTGCAGCCACATCAGCTGAAGCTGTTGCAATTGGCAAGTCTGTATTAACTGAGGAAGAGAGTGTACTTGCAGATCCAGAACTAGTAACCATAGAAATAGGTTGAGTACTTGTAACCAAGGTTATAGTTGATGTGGAAGTGCTCTGGGTGATCTCTTTTTGCTGCACAGCTAAGAAAAGAGAACATACAGCAGATCAATCACATAAACAATTATGAAAACAAATAGGCAAACTCCTAAATGTCTAACTTAAATGTGTGTACCTAACCATTTCCAAAACTTACATTATTTATACAATGGTGCCATTTAATCAATTAACTATACAGTGCCTAGCCACTGAACTTGTACATGATTGTAAGGCTTAAAGGTAATGAAGCAAATATATCTTTGAAACTTATAATTTTAGACTAGCCAATACAAAAGTCTCCCTCAGACCTATATTCCTCCCATTTTGGGACCTTTCCATCCCACTTCCTAAGAATTCGCTTCCTAACCTCTCAATTTGGAGAGCTCCCAAATAATATATGTATGAGCATAAGTTAGACTTTGACATTTTCATTTGCCATGATTTTGAAACGTATTATTGAATTCCTCTTCTTTTTACTTGGAAACAAGGTTTAGTGAGCCACTGTTGAAGAAAGCCTACTTCAGTAATACTTCCTGGTATTATTCGCATTCTTCTGTTATTAATACTACTAATTATCACTAGTGTTGTGACATGTTTAATATACATACATCCAGGTCAATATTAGCCTTTGGTTGGCTGCAGAGCAAGGAATGCAAAATTAGATTAACTCATTAAAGCAAAGAAGTTACTCATAGTGTTAGTTCAAATGGGATAAGAAAATTTTTCTCATCTTTGATCAATAATTCAAATAATCTTAAGCAATGGGTAATTAAAAAATTAGTACAAATCAAAATACAAAGACCCTCACCTTTTCATCCCTAATGACTTATCTGTCTTAAATTTTAATTTTTTTAAAAAAATTTTAAGAATAATACTTTTCAATCTATTTTTAATGATTCATATTATAAGATGCTTTGTTGCCAATATCCTCAAAAACAGGAATTACTGAAATAAAAGTTATTCAGTTTATCTGTATGTACTATATTTTTGTTTATGCCAATTCAGTATACAATAAATCTATAGATTGCATAGTTTTCATTTGATATATTTCTAGCATATAATATTTAAAATGGAACATAGCTGTGATATGCTCAACAGTAAACATATTGACAAACTCGTAGGCTGAATATTAAAGTCCAGGCCATATTATTAAGCTCTTATATTAAGGTATGACTATTAAAAATAAGACTTTACCAAGTTTCACTTTCATTTTTCTCACTGAATATTTCTGTATCAAATTTGTGCAGTCTACAAGCAGAAAGAGACCGCTTCTTCAACACTTCTTAAATGCCAGTCACAAAAGCAGTTTGGGACCAGACAAATGTGCCTCTGTTAAACGTTTGATTGTGACCCATTACCTAAACCTCTCTTCTGTATGAAATTACTGGCTTGCCAGCAGTGTTAGCAGAACAGAGAATATCTATTCATCAGGCCCAACAGTAAACAGTTCAGTTTATTAACTTAAAATTACATTGAAGTTGGATTTGCATAAAGTTGCTGTGCTGTGAAGGGAAGCAATAGAAGCATGGGCTTATATTACCTTGTGCCTACTACTAGCAAAACCTCTGGCAAAGGGCTGGTAAGAAAAGAGTTATGAAAACATTCTAAAATGCTGTGGCTGTTTGCTCAGTAAAGTAGCATCAAAGTCTTGTTAAGAGTTAAACAAAAGGGATTTCAAAGACAAATGTAGCCTGGGTAATTTCATTGTTGTAAAATTACACTCTATGGAAATCCATACAGATCAGCTTCTTGTCTGATAAAACTGGATCCAGTTTGTAGACATTAAAGTGATAGTGGTAATCATGCAAATGGAATGGACTTAATGGTTTTATCATATAATCTAGAAAATAATTCGGTTCACTCTCCCAAATCTGTGATAGCTAAGAATGCAAAAAAATATTTACATAGATACACACACAAACTTTTTGTCATTAAAATAAGGAGACAGGACTCTAAATACACACCAGAAAGAGCAGGTATGCTGAGTAAGTTGTTGTATTTTAAAGTCACATATCAGAGTAGAACCACACTTTGAGATTTTGTTTATATGGAAGAACTCCTGGTTGGGCAGCCTTGGAGCACTGAGATCACTACTGGGGAATTATGGCATCACAGGCACATTGAGTTAGAAAGTGTATACCTTTAACTGCTTGTCTTGTCTGATATCTTGTCCCTTGAGAGGACTGAGGTTGCTGTGACTGAGACTGCTGGCTCTGCTGCTGTTGCTGCTGTCTCTGCACCTTCTGCATGTGCCATTTCTGAGAGGATGTCTGAAATTTATTGGAAGAATTCCACACTACACGCTGCACAGCAGGGGCAGTTTCCTTGGGCAGCAGAGGCCTCTGCTTTTTCACAGGGCTTCCAGTGGCTGCAGATGGAGCGCTAACAGTAGAAGAAGCACTAGTAGTCGCTGTTACACCAGCTGGTGGAGTCTGGGCTGCAGAGCGGGTAAGCACTGGAGTTTCTGGTAGAGGCTGGGTGCTTGCAGTGGAGGAAGGTGGAGTTTTACCTACAACTAAACAAACAAAATGTAATGCCAGCTTTTCACCAACACGTCTGATTCATAATTTTAACCTAGCTTTTGGAAGAACCATATGCACCTTTCAGCCTACTTTGAATTATTTTCCTCAAAAGATAATTGATATTTTACAAGAAAGTTCATTTCAATATTCTACAAGTGAACTCATTTCAGTCTAGTTGAAGTTGGTGGCTCTTCAGAAGCACTAGCCATTAAGCAAAACAAGCCATACCAAACCCAGAAAACCAGCCTGACCTCCTGTGGAAGATATGTGAAGTAAGCATTTGTTAGGATGATGTTTCTGGCTTACCCCTTACACCTGTCTTCCCCATTTCTTTCAAGGGAAAAAGGAAAAATAACTGAATAATAACTGAAGGAATAGCATACTAAAAACTTTCTAAACAAAGGTGAACTGGCACTGACAACCAAATATACAGTGTATTTAAGACATCTATGTTTACTTGAAAAATCTTTTGGAGTTTACAGTTGACCATTCCACATATCAGATTTATTTAGGAATTAATTCCCAAGCTGTGGCCAGGAAAAACATGTCTGAAAGAGAAGGCTGCCGCACTGACAAGTTTCTGGAAAGAGGGCACAGACCTTCAGATTTGCATGCATCAGATCTCTTTTCTGGACCAAGGCATTTTAATATCAGAGAGCCACAAGTAAAGGTAGGGGCCTTGGAATCACAGACAGGACACAAATGATGTCTAGAATATATTCATATAGGTTTCTCTATACAGATATTTAAATCCACCTATAATTTAACTCAGAATATGCATTTCCTTTTGCCTCTATATCAAAGTAAAATTTTAGGATTACTTATTTCAACCATCACTGGTTTAGGCCACTAGTAATACATGAATCAGTGGTTTTGAAATTTATAAAGCTGCCTACCTTAATAAATTTTCAAATTAAACAAGAATCATCAATATAAACTCCCCAAAAATGCAATTCTGGTTTTAGTTTATAAGCCTATTTTCTTGATTATCTTATAGTAACAATTATACATTAAGCTCAGCTTTAAGATTCGAAATTCAGAAGCATTGTCTTCTAAAGTATGCTCAGTTAACTGATTAAAAACATTCTTTTAAATAAAAAGATTGAGCCAACATGCTATAAAATATAGACAAGAAGAGAAAGTTATAGGAAGAGTAAAGTATTTTTCAATCTAGCCATTTAAATCCAGTTTTCTATTTTGTTTTGTCAAAAGGCTAACATGCAGAACCAGCTTAGCAAAAGCAGTTTAATCATTGAGATTGCTTTCCTCTTTTAGCACCACACAGAAACAAGGGACAATATCTCAGGGACAATACATGTGATTTAGCTGTTCTTTTGATTATTACTGAGAGCATTTACATTGATTTCAATGGAACCTTATGCAATATTTATGTTTGATAAGTTCTAACTTCTTCTATACATGCAATTTTGGGAAGTCTATGGAAATGTAAAGCTTTAACTGAAAGTAATAGCAATTACAAAATAAATTCTACATTTGTCACAGAACAAAGATTATGGATATTCATAGTTCTAAGCTGCTGAAAAGAAACTCAAAGAAACATGTTTTATTTAAACTACAAATTATAATGGGGACTGAAAACTTTCTTATAGTCACAAAGAATGAAAAATCATTCATAAAAATTGGTTTAGTACAGATATTTTTATCTTAATGCAGAAATAAAGGTAACAACTCTGGCTTTGATAACAGCCTTACAGAGCAGGAGAAAAAAAAAAAGAAGGAAAGAATTCATCCTACCATCTTGTTTAGGAGGAGGTTCTTTAGATTCTTTCTTGTTTTTCCTTCCTTCGCGGCCACAATGATCATCTCCTAGATCGATGACTAGTTCACTCTCAGAATCAGAGTCCAGTCCTAGATGCACAGTTGGAGAGTCTGTTTCATCTTTACCTTTCAGTTTTTCTTTTGCAGGATGCTGTAAACTTTTTCCCTTTTCAGAAAATTCTTTTTCAGTGTCTGCAATTGCCTTTTCTTTGACTGGGTCATCTGTTTTCTCCGCTTCTGGACTTGTGCTTTTAAGTTCCTCCTTGTCTTCATTCTGTGCTGGGGGCTTAGGTTTTTTTTTCAAGCTCAATGATTCTTTGTCACTTCTTGTAGCTTCCTTGTCCTCTCCATCTTCTTGATCGTTCTTTGATTTCTGATCCTCATCACTATATTCACTGTCACTGGTGTCAGATTTTTCAGAATCTTCAGAGTCACTGTGTTCTACTGCAGTATAAACAGCTTCAGATATTTCATTTATTCCTAATTGTGGGGAGGAAAGTATATTCCATGCTGACATCATACTGATGTTACCAAAAAATATACTCTATATAACAAAGTGTATACATACCATTATCTTAACTGTCAGTCCTTAAACCATAAACACTTCCCTTAGTGCCCTATCTCAATACTAGGATATATAAGAATTACCTTCCACATATTCCAATTCCTGGTTTTATTCAATGGTCCTTCTTTCACTGCTTTTTCCCCCACTACCTGTAAGCTCTAGCTTTGTTCAACTTAAGACCAATGCTGGCAAATACAAAGAGGAATTATTTTTATCCATAGGAAACCACCTTCAAATCAGTAACACCATTCACCTGATTAGTTACTTAAATGTACATTTACAGAATTCACTGCGTAAATTTTGTGAAAAGAATCTCTGATTTTTTTAGTACCTAGGAAGTCTTTAATTATGTGCTAGACAACACTACTGTTTCTAACAGCATTCAGTTCCTGTGTAACTGGATATATTAATTTGTGCAACAAAGTTAGGTGCAGTTCTTTAAATTTTTCAATTTACAAAGCAAATAGTAAGACTATAATTCTGTATACTATCTACATCAGAATAGAACAAAAATAGATTAAAAGATTAAAGTTTTTTGACAAAAATTTGAAACATCAGGTCTCACCGTATTTTAAATTAAACTAGTTCAGTGTATTCTATTTGACTCAAAGAGTTCAAATATCCTCTATTCTTGATTTAATGTATAAAACATTTAAGGTTTTACTATTCAAAAATCTTCTTTTGAACTCCAGTTCAAAATTTCCTCGAGTGTATCCTTCAGATGTCCATTGTATTCTTGAGATATACTTACCAAGTTGTGCTTTACAACTCTCTATTGTCTTGTCAAGATTAAGCTGGAACCTACTACGTATCTGTCGTTTTGGTGAAATGAGTTGCACGGGAGTGGTCTGCTGTTGGACTGACTCACTCAACTCTTTCAGATCCATCTCAGCTTTGCTACGATCTAGAAAAAGAAAAAGACACTAAGAAAAATATTTTACAAAAAGAAAAGAGATCACTATCCAGGTAAGACAAATTTTACTGAGTAACAATGCAGACAATCTGAAACATATTTAGCTTTTATAATTATGGGATAAGTAGTAATTCTAAAATTACTTTACTACAAACAAGGGATTCTTCTTCTCTGATACTATACATTTCACATGCAAAATACATGCATCAATTATGTGGACTCTTTTATCTGGCAACATGAAATTATCAAGAAATCATTCAGGTCTGTAAGCTCTCTGACAGCACTTCTAGTAAGCTACTGCTGTTATTTACTACTAGTAGTAATATTTTCACAGAGAAAATTAATTAGGTTTGGCCAGTAGCTCCTTGAACTGGCTCATGGTAGGATCAAAAGAGCCAATGCCATATGCTGGAAAAGGACAGACGCCATGGAGAAGGCACAAGGCAACAATGGCACAATGTGCATTTGTGCTTCGTTTAGTTTCATTCCATAGCAGTTAAAGATGCCAAAGCATTGCCTTATTTTACAAGATGTTTTTGTTGATGTACAGCTCAGAGAAAAATGAAATAAATACAAAGGGCTGAGCCAATGATTCCTCTGACCAGACATTCTTTACAAGTTTGAACTTAATATCAAGATACCTTCTGCATTTAAGAGCCATAGTACACAATGACTCATTGAGTTGTCTCAATCAGGCTTGGCCACCCTATCTCCTATCAAGTTGCAAATCCAATCTATATTACAGATAGAGCAGGTACAGAAGGAACCATTCAAGTATTCATGCAGTTTTTGTTCAGTGCTAAAGTAATAGTTCCTCATCTCTTCCTAGAGAGAGGCAGCAACTTGTGTGGTGCAATCTCACAAGCCAAATATACAGGCTATAATTTGGATCATCCTGCCTTGTAATACATATGCATTATAGCATACACAAAGTCATTCTAAATAGCACTTAATTGTCCTTTCTAGTCCCAGTGAAATGGTCATTAAAAGTAAGACTGAATTTCATACTCATGACATATTCATACTGGAAGAGACTAAACATAATACAAACATCACTTTCAGTGCAGTGTAAATTTTGAAAATAACAATGAACATTCTAAGTCACTTCAGTACTTTTTTCAAAAGTTTGTTCTTGCATTTGAAATGTTTTAAAAATGAAGTTTCTTCTTCCTCTGCAAACTACGTCACCCAATCCACACTAATTCCACAGCAGTAATTGTTTTATCACCCTTAGTATAGAATTTCATTCCAGGCCTTTGTAGCCCTAGTTAACTACATAGCAGGATACAAACAGAAGAAAAAATGGAGAAAGACGAAGACGAGACACTATAATACCTCCCCGGGGAGCCCTACATCTTTATATATGAAAGAAGTCTCACAATCCAAATTTCTCTATCTAACCTACAAGGAGGTCTCACTGAGGAGATGTGGATTTCCAATCTCTCTCATTAATGTCAAAGCATTAGTAAAAAGAAAAGAGAGCCAAAGGGCATATAAGCTGACTGTGGAGAAATTTTCAAGTGCTCATCTCCAAAGTCTTTACTTTTTCTTATTACCGATGTGAAAATTTTCACTCCTTACTAGGTCAAACTTGTTGTTCTGCCTTTTCTGCCTCTGTTATACAAGGATAGGTCCTATACTATATGCAATATGTATTTTTTCCAAGCAATCTGTGTATAGCTTGGTCATTCACACCTCCATTTTTCAATTTACCCAGTCTGCCAGTAACAACAGATGGCTCATTTCCATGAATTTTCCTTCCTTATTGCCAAACTGGAGGACGATCATAAAAGTCTTCCTAGTACTCTGCTCAAGGTACATAAGTGTCTTTGTTTTCTGGACTTTCACTTTTGTTTTTTTCAGAGAGAAACCCTGTTCACATTATTTATGACAAAACACAGTAAGTCATACCCAAAAAACATGGGATTCACAGATTAATCTACATCTGGCACAGCTGACACTATTAAATGAAGAAGGGTTGCTATTTTCATTCCTAGCACCAAAGAGTATACTTGCAAAGGAACATCCCCTAAAGCTGAAAAAATAAGTGATATTCTACTTGAAAGCACACTAGCTGTTCTTTTATGGTATTGCTCATGGACCGTAACATTGAATTTTCCAATCCACACTATTTATTCAAAATATCCTATGCTCCAGCTGATGCCTCCCATCTGTGGCTCAAACTACTGCAGCAATACATATTTCTTAATGTTCTTTCAAATGTATTGTCACCTCAGATAAGACAACGAACAGCTGCAGTGCAGCAGAAGAAATTAATTCTGTGGTTATGTCCACACAGATAGATTAACACACTGAAAAATATACTTGAGAGCTTGTATCAAGAATCAGAATATCTGTAACTCACTGAAAACATGAATTCAGCATTTGAGCTCAAGCCTTCCTGAAGGATTTGGCTAACACCAAGGGGCAGAATCCTGTTTCTCCATGTAATATCATGTGGAGGTAAAAAGAAGCCAGAACTGAATCAGAATACTCACAGGAATAAAGTGTGACTGAGGAAACTGATTTACACCGTTTGGCTTTCAGAACTATTTTACCAACTTAGTACTTACCTACTGCATCTTTCAAAATTCCAGAATCTCAGAATTTACTTCTAGGGAGTTTCAAGACATCTGCTAATTCCTTTCATCCATCTATCTCCCTAGAGATGGATGGTCAGCGAGGAGGTGATGTGAGGCAGCAAGAGAGAAGCCCTAGTAAATCCTAAATCCCAAAGACCACAAGAAAACCTTGCCAGCAATTCATTTGAGAGACTGGGGGCCCAAGAGCAGCAATTTCAGGTAATTACAACCTTTAGAAACTGACCTACTGTTTAGAAACATTTGTTTATACAGTTCAACTGAAAAAAGAAATCATCCTTTAACTACTTCCTTTCATCAAGGAGAAGAAAGAATAACAGGAACTTTCATTGATAAAAACCAGCAGCATATTTGATGAAACAATAATTACACATGTGCCTCATTTAAAGCCCTTTGTTCATTTAAAGCCACATACAAGCAAGTTTGTTCATATTATGTGGCACTGACACCACTGTAACTTCCTTCAGCTATAACAGTATTAGATTTTCAAAGGTTAAGACTAACCAAGGTTAAGATTCAGAATGCTTCCTGGAGTGGAAGTTCTTTCTTGCTTAGCAGAAATTGGTGTTGATGCTTGAGGAGAAAAAGGTTTGGGGCTGCCTGACAAGCTCCCTGCTTGACCCGTTCTTGTTGGTGCTGGAGAAGCTGAAAAAGTACAAAATTAATAAAGATGTATTTAAAAATAATCACAATAAAGCCATATTCATTGGGACAAAACAGCTTTTAAACCTACACAAGCAGGGAAAGGATTTTTGTTTACTAATTTCAACAATGTGTTGTTACAACTTGTAAGTTACAACTACTCCTTTAATTTTAGTTTAATAAAGAAAGAAATTGTAAGAAAAATAATTTTATTGCAGCTATGTAGTTGGGCCAAATGTATGCTTACCTTCAAAATCACTCTGTTTGCAGTGACAGAAAATTTCTAGCTTTGAAGATTTGGTTATTTTAGATGTTAAATGCTGGCACTCTAAATTGCTATCTATTTTAATTCATGTATGTAAGTAAACAGAAAAACCCCACCTACCCCATTTTCTAGCTACAATAACAGAGAATTAAAAGTACAAATCATAGTAAATGTAATCAATATGGCTGGAGATCAGTAACCAAATGTCTCCGATACTCTAATTTATACAGAGTTTAAGCAAAATCCTATGCTCTGAGCCTTTAATATCTCCATGAAACAATGTTTCAAAAACAAACTTCTGGAAACAGCCAGTCTAGAAAGAGAAACATTGCAGGCCCTTAAAAAAAAAAAAAAAAAAAAAAAAAGCAAGCTAATTTTTGTCAGCAAGAGACTAATTTCTGCCTGCTAAATCTCTGCTTAATGCTCTGAGAATGTCATCCTAAACTCCCTACTGGACACTTTTTCTTCCCCAGTACATCCAGGATTCTCTATATATTTTCAGATCGCTAAATGACAGCACTATCTGCTGTTTCAGTAACTGTTTCCAAGTTATTTTCTACACATCACTCAGAATACACAAGAGGCATCCAAATAAAACTGTTCTTGTTTAAGGATAGTGCAGTCATACTACTTGACTTATTTTTTACAGCAAACAAGTCATTTAATTTACATTTGAATTAAAACACACAGATTCCAGTAATAGGACAACTAAGTTAATACATAAAGTAAATATTACTAAAGTTAGCATTTGTAACAATATACAGGTAGAAATGCCAGGTGGGAAACTGAATATTCTAGTTTAACTGCTGTTCAGTCCAATCCAGCATTTCTATGTGCTAGGACAGAGGACAGTAAGGCCTAAGGAAAAAGTTAGAAAAATTCCACAGAACTGTGATGATAATCAAGAAACCAAAGTACTAGGATAACATCTGTCATCATCTGTTATCTTTATCTGACCAAATAGCTTTAATCTGACTGTCCATGAATATCTCCACTACTATAAAGAAATAATAATGTGGTATAACAAAAGCTCTGTATTTTAAGACACAAGCCAGTACCTGTTAGCTACACCTTATGTATAAGAGCTGTACCCACATACGTACATGATAATTTATGTATAAAATGAATTACTCCTTCTGACATGTTATTCTACTGAAAATTCCAAGTATTTTCATATATTTAAATTTGGTTATGTTGTCATCACTTTCTTAAGATGGACAGGATCATATCAAAAGACAGTTTTGTACCCAAAGACAGTTTCACAGCCTAGCCTTTATTGGCTAGGAAGATTATAATAAATAAATAACAGCATTTTATCTAAAAATTGTAATGGAACATATTGATTTACTTTGCCACACAAAGAAAACACACTCATATTAATTAATATACTGCATCATTTCTTTCAGACAGTGATGAACTTATCTTAGATTTTTTCATCCATAAAAAAGTAGTTTGCTTGAGTGCCACAAAATTAGCTAGCATTTGGTCACTGACATAATTATAATTCTGAGAAGTCCACATTCTGTATTCTACACTCCTTTTCCTCTTTATCTGCTCTGCCTGTGGAACCGTAGTTTTATCATATTTTAGCTACTCAGTTGGGAACACTGTAAATTAAGCTCATTGCCTTGAAAAAGAGCTATTAAGTTTTAAATAGAATACTTCCTAATCATGACAATTCTAACTCTGAATTTACTTCAACTCTCCATTCATTTTGATAGTCACAACTGTTTCCTGCTATTTAATCTGAAGGGCTTTGGTCACTTTTCAATATTATTTATTCCTACTCAATGTGACAGAAAGGACTGTTATTTTTTATCTGTGATACTGAAAGTTAAAACCATTATTTTTCTAAGATTTCTTCATAAAATGAGTCATAATCCAGTCTGTCTTAAAGAAGTACATAGAATAAAACTAGTGCATTAATTAATCAAATGCAAAGTCCTGTACCTCTTTCCCCACCTCTTTTTTTTTACCTGTATTTTTCTCAATAAAGTCCATGGATTCTTCACTGGCACTAAAATGACTCGAAGTTGCTTTTTTCTCCGCGTCCTGTTCAACATCAGATCCAGTGTGAACTGATGAGTTTGTACTCATTGGTGACCGTGGCATATCTGTCAATGAAATCCTACGACCAGTACTACTGCTCAGCATAGACTTGCTCATTAGAATCTTGGGCGACGCTGTCATATCAAAGTTTAGTTTGATTTTCTCTTGTTTGTCTGTCTTTGCAGTTCCAGCAGTTGGGTTTGCAGGGTCTAATAACATTTGGTATTGATTATTGGGAGTATATGGTGTCCGGAAAGGTGCGTAATTAAATACTCCAAATTTTCTACGAATGTTATCAACATAAACCTCCATCTCTTGCATTGCACTATTGAAGATGCTTTTAGTCTTTTTCACAGAAAAAGGAATTTCTTTAGACATGAGGTAGCAATTATTTATTGGAACCCAGGCCCTATATATAAAACAGAAAAATAAAAGATAATATAACTACATTTCACACTGTGGATTGACATTGACAACTTTTTTTTCACATATTAATTTATTTTAGCTTAATCATAAAGATATGCACACCTCAGATCATTTCAAAAAACCATCTCTATCTTCTTTTAATAGTTCAGTGCTTGGTTTTGTTAAGTAAGTAAATTGCATGTCTTAGATTATCACTAGCTTATTTTACTCAGTAACACATAAAACATGAATAAACACTGGTCAAATATGACAAAATATTCCTAATTAGAATAGTCTATGTAACTGTAAGATGACCATAACAAAACAATCTTTCCATCTGTCATAGTTAGCAGAAAAACATAAAAAGCAGGTCAGGAAAAAAAAGACTTCACAACCACATTCTTAAAAACATAATATTCTATTTTACATCCCATATCAGTGTGATCAAACTCTTCAATGTCAGGAAAAGTTCTATCAATAAGTATTGGACAGATTTTATTTATCGTTAAATGAGGCAGACTCTAAAGTCGTGCCTTCAAGATACTAAAATACTGGGAACTTTGACTTATTTATTTCACAGCCCTATACAGGTTTTTTTACAGTACTTGTTTTTGTTACTGTATAGATATATACTTTCAATTCATGACAAATCAAGTCATATTCATCATGGCTTGCTTTCATGCAAAGAGTTCACAAGTATAGAAAACTCCTTTCAGAGCAAAACTGGCATTTTCAACACAGATTATATTTTCTAAATCTACAATTGTGTGTTTATTCCCATAGTGTTTAGACAACATAAACAACTTTATATGTCTCTTCCACTTTTAAGAACTACAGCTCTCTGCAGCACAAAACCAGACACAGGAAATAACTTGTATATTCACTGAGATTATATATGTATTAATCTTACAAACACATGACTTAATTTCTTACATGATGTCTGCAGAACGTAAGACTGTATATACTACAGTATTATATAGGTTTTTATGGTCAAGGTGCAAAAGACAGGATCCAAAAGCTCCAAGAGTACAAAATTACAACATGAATTTGGTAAGTACAGCCAAAGATATCCTTTGGTTAAATTCCCACCTGTCGTGTTGGCCAAAGAAACGGGCATCAACTTGCCCATCTTTATCCCTCAGTGCTTTAGCAGGCCAGAATGGAAAGCCTTTGAGTTTAGCCCAGACCAAAGGGTGGGGATTGCTCTAGAGGAAGAGGCACAGTAAGAAAATTACAAATATACACAGTAAGAAAATTCAAGCAGTAGTACCTTATCTGATAAGCAACATGATTTTTTTTTTTACTTGTACGTATTAGATTTAATAAAGATCCAACATGCACAAGGCACTTGCCAAATAAAAGATTCTATTTTATGATATACTTGATATATTCATAATGAGTCCTGAGATGACAATTTTTTTTTTTTTTTTAAATTACATAAAACTTTAAAGATCTCAATTAAACACATCGTAATTGCACTCTATTCATTTATTTTTGATTAGTCCTCTCCGAATATATAGCATAATGTAAGTTAGGCTAGGGCCAATCTTTCAAATTCCCTAATTTTCACTTAAGTCCAAGACAGAACTTGACGGATTATACACCTCTACTTAAGAATCTTAAGGAGTCTTCCCCAAGTTTGGTGCAGTATTAAACAAAACCAGGAAACAGACAACCTATTAATACGTCATGAAAGAAAAAAAATCAAATCTAAGTTTTCAGATTCACACCTGCAGAAAGAGATACTCACATTTCAGAAATCTTACCCTGAGTGCAACTACCACATGCAAGTACAGATGACCGAGGAGCTGATAACATATTTGAGGATCGAGAAGTTGCGAACTGGTTGCTGACACCCTTTACAGTTATTTCTGACTGAACCAATCGTTTTATGAAAGCATGCAATCTTACAGCTAAACATCTTGAGATAGTCTGACTCCACAAAGAGCACGATGTGCAAGCACAAGCTACTTGGTAAACTACAGCAGCTTTCCTTGACTCAGTAACAACCACAGGTTTAAAACAATGGAGGGATAAAACAAGCAACAGTCAAATGAGAACTGCTAGTGTAACATATTAGCTAGACTACCATAATCCTTAACTTACACAAGGCTCACAAAACCAATTTTCTCGTTTTTGGCAAGCAGCTAAATAACATTCCGGACATACTTCAATTTCATTCATCTGAAAAGAAAAATCAAACCATTATTGAAGAGCTGAAACAGAGTCCAAAGTGTCATCATTATTATTATTATTTTAGCCTGTCTAGTTTGCTAGCATCATTTTTCCACAAATTTGTGGTTATAAATCAACATTTACTTGCTGTGAAATCAACATTGTTTTGACAGACACCCATCTTTTTCTACCCCAGTAACGTATGCATTCCAGTTAATAAATCAGTCACATTTTTACACCCCTCTTCAGACTGCATGCTACTGTCATTTACTCCAGTCATACATCCTTTATTTGATGTTGTAATTATTCCGGTGATAAAAAATTATTCATCATCATTTCTTCCAATGGCAAAAAAAAAAAAAGAAAAAAAATCACAGCTGGACATTTAATTTATGTAGAACCAAAAATAAAATATTTTACTCCTTATGCTCATATTATACACACTAATTAAGATATCAGGCTCATGTTATACATGATTTTGTCCTATTAAGAAGTGATAAATTCTCAGAATTTATGTGAATCATGGATATTGCTGTGTCAACCCAGGGATGGAGAAAGCACTGCTATAAAGGATCAGATAACTTATAGAAATGAAATATTGTTCAAATATGTTACCTTTAGAATAGTAAGGTTTTGTAATACTTAACATTATCTACTGCCACTGAAATAAAATCAGTGCAAACGATCAGTTAAGAATGCATGCAGTCATATCGAATATGAGTATGGAATTCATATTGTTACAGCAAAAGAACCATGAAAAATGCATCTATGAATCAGAAGATGTGGGTCTCTTTTTCCAACACCAAATATCCATTTAGAAGACAGGTGTCTTTGCACAGCATATGTCCACTTTCTTCTCTTCACACACACACACACCCGCCCCCAGTAAGTCTTAACTATAGATAGTGAATATCCTAATGGAAGACACATTAGCAATGCCCTTGCCAAAAATCATTCTATAGGCTATGGATATTCATATATAAACATAAGAAAGCCTACTAAAATTATAGTTACATGACACACATATTAGAAAACACATATTTCACTCATGAATACATGAAATTGATCACTTAAAAATACAGAACAATTAAGTTAATTGGGGCACACATACCTCATGCTCACAGATTTTGATGATGACTTTCGCTGTTTGTGTCAATTTGTGATTTCCTGAGGCAACAATAAAACGGTTTAACCAAGAAAATTGTTACAGTAGAATTATGATAATAGAAGTATGATAGGTTTTAGTTTTAAAAGTTAACATTAAAAAGAGAACATCTAAAGAGACGATGTAAAACACGTATGTATAAACAACATGCTTGCAAAAGCAGAAGGTAGGCACTTTTCTTCTCAACATAACTTGTAACAATCTTTAAACATTCCTTTTTGAAGCCTACTGCAGCCTGCCCACCACTGATAGGCTCTTTCAGTGAGGGACATGCTGTATCATCTCCTCAATTAAGTCTCCTATAAAGAGTGGCACAATGCAAAACACTAAAACTTGGGGGTTGGAACCAGATGATCTTTAAGGTCCCTTCCAACTCAAACCATTCTATAATTCTAAATTATTTGAAATTTTTTTAAAGGTAGAATGAGCAAGTGGCAGCATGGGCTGTATTTGGTCCTACAGTTTAATGTAGGCCAGTTGTTTAAAAAAAAAAATCTGTTGTGTTTAGGCACTATGGTCATTAACAGGAAGATGCTTTCAGTGTTTGCCAACTAGAAGTGTACAAATTGCTCTATGACTTTAACTATTTCAAAGTTTCATATTTGAGGATGTAAGTACATATGAACACATACCCCCATTGTAAATAATGCAGTTGTGCAAAATCCATTTGGCATCAGCCAAAAATGCTTCAGTGCAACCGTACATTTTCTTTTTAACATTCTGTAAAGAAAAATTAAGAATTAATCAGGAAACAGAAATGAGTAAAGGGACACCTTCTTCCTGAATGTTGTTTCCTATCAATCCTACACAATTAATAAAACAGACTACTTATGTACTATAAGACTTATGATTCTAAATAGTTAAAAATCTATCAAATTTAGGGTGCCTTTTGACTGCCCTGAAAATGTATGAACTGCCTACATTAACTCTAAATAATTAATTATTTAGATCAGCACCTTTAACATTTGCAAAAAAAGTGTTCATTTCCTGAAACAGTGTTCCATTTGATGCCTCTTCAGGTAACAGAGTCCTTGGTTTCTTCTACTGACATATTATCTCTCCACAGCATTTTCTTTTTTTTAATTTTTACGAGACCCAGAAAAAAATATTGGTCATAGTACCTAAGACAGTATGTTTGATATTCCAGCTTACCCACTGGGTAAAGTAATTCAATTAGATAAAATCAGTCACATGGATTCGTTACACCTTTATACCATAAAGACATCAACCTCCACTGTAAAGACATGGAGAATAAAAACTTGCTGTCTCTTCACCAGGTCATAGCAGAACAAAATTCTGCAATGCTTCACTCTTCATTAAGCAGTAGAGAATAGAGAATTTCTTCATAAATTTGAAACTTTTAAATTATTATTGAACTGAGAATGAAAGTCCCATTATCCACCTCTTGACTGTTTTTGCTTGGTTGTTTTTTTTTCTTCTACACCTCAAGACGCAGCGGAGATTGCAATATTTGTTGAATGATCGGTAAAATGAGCCTGGGATGACCTGTGGATATACACTCAAATGGTCCCAAATTAATGGACCAGTGATTCATTAATAGCATACAAACATGATGATCAAATGCAAACTCTGGTTAATGAAGTCTCCCCACAGGATCATTCCTGGAATTAGACGAATTTACACAGGAGGAAGTCATCAGTGTAAGCTGGTCTTTTTCATACTGTTTTCCCTGAGCATTTGTTACTGGTTCAGACAAAATAGTGGACTTGTTCAGTTGACATATGATTGTTTTTAAGCTGTAACTGAACTGGCATTTATAACAAAAAAAAAACAACCAAAAAAAGCAAGCATCAAAATCATTTCAAGCAACCTTTCCATTCCCCCCATCAAACACTTCAGAAATCTTAATGATAGCAATCAAACTCAAGGAGCCTTCTTCCCTTAGCTTCACACAAACCTTTTCTAATGTACAAAGGTCCATTGGATGAAAGATATATTCTGCATAATCTGGGTGCTGATCCAGTGAAACTGGCTTCTGAAATGGCTCTGTCTGTTAGATAAAAAGCAAAACACACTGCTTATTAATATTGAACAGTTTCATCAATGACACAATACTCATTCTTTTTCTAATATTACTTCCAACTGATGTCAGAGAAAATTCTTTAAAGGCAATTCTAAAATTTTGTGAAGTAATAAAGTACTAGCAGAATAAGAGGAATTAAAAAGTCTCATTAACTGATTTTTCATATGCTGGAAGTAATGAATTGCAAAAGTTGGGATTGTAAAATGTGCTGTTATTATTTACAGTGGGGGCAGTTTGTGAGGAGTATCAGATGAGGCTCAACAGATAAGTTTTTAGCAGAATAAAGACACTTTACTAAATTTCCAAGTCACTAGACTTACAAAACTTCTTTTTCAGACTCTCAATAGAATCATAACTTTCAAAACAATGGTGGTTTGGTAATGCAAACACATTCAAACTTTTATCAGTGGGACCTTACTTTTCATCTGCTAATGTGGACGGACTGCAATTCTTCAAACGCAACCAATTAAAGCACTCTGGTACCAAACCAATAGGTTTGGTAAAATGCCTAAAGGGCAAAATATCTCAATAGCATTCATTAAACATTAGCTTTCTAACCACATTTTTGAAACACTTTGTGAATTCAATATAAACAAAGACTGACATTTTGCTTCTGAAAAGCAGCACTTAAAGCTTCTAATGGCTCCATCTAATAGGATAGTATCTACCACTCCAGAATAAAACCATTCCAGGAGCCAAAACCTGTAAGAATGTAAGAGTAATCTCCCCAGAAATTGCCACTATTGTTCTGCTAAAATACTAAACGTAGAGAGATCAGAGTTGCAGAGAGACCGAGATTCTCCACATCTGATTTTTCCAACATATTTTACTATAACAACGCAGACACAGAGACACTCTCCTTGCTCCTCTAAGGTACATACAGGAACAAGAAGGCAATGGGAGTTAAGACAACTCTTTGTAATTGATCATGTTGTATTTTGATTTAGTGTTTTCTTCACACATGTGAAAGCTAGGCAACACTTGCATGGTGAAGAACAACTGACCAGAATTGTTGAAGCAAGAATGAGTGACTGGAATAGCTAAAACTTTGAGGCATGGTGATTTTGAGAAGTGACCCTAAGACAGACACATGTAGATAGGCACGAGTTGGAGGAAAATCAATTTTACCTCCATGATAAAAATTCATAGAACGGCAGACTTGTATCGCATGAAAGTTAATGGCACAGGTTTTCACCACAATGAGGAAAATTTCTTCAGCGTTTTAGAAGTACATAACAAAATTTTGTGGTAAGAACAATTGCTACTAACAGATAGAAGCTAGGTTTTCAACATGTAAAATCAGTAATATAACAGTGTCTGTGCCTAAGGTTCCTGCCCATATAACTGTATTGTTAAGAGATCATGTCTCCTCATTCTCCTTGTATCTCAGAGACAGCATTGCCCACTTTTGGTGAGTGGTTTGTGGAAAGGCACAATATATTTTCACTACACCTACCGAAACTATGTCCAGAAATTATATCAAGAAACTACATTTTAAATGCACTCCAAAACAGTATATACAACCTAAACTGATCTGTCTGTGCTAGCAGGTGGCAGACAGGACAGAAACTGTTACATACAATGTGATAAAATAAGTTCATAATCCACAAAAAGAAGCAAAATCCAGGATTATGACAAACATATGATCCAAGCATAAAAAAACCCAAAAAACAAACAAACAAAAAGTACAAACCCAAACATTTCCTTACCCCTGGCTGTTTCATTTTCTGTAGTGCAAACTTCAGTAAATATGATAGCTGTTCAATGGTGAGCATTGTCATAGCTTTACTCTGTGTTTCTATGCATTCTGCAACTGTGATTTTCTAAAAGTTAAGATTAAAAAATATTTTGTCAGCAAACATTTCTAGATAAATTCTTCTCCACTGAAACATTCTAGCATTCAAATGGAAGATAATAACTATCTTATAAGAAACAAAACATTTCTGATGATGCAGTATAAGTACTTCAGATGCTTATTTTACTTGAATTTTGTTCTGGGTATGTTATTTAAGAAAAAAACAAACCAAACCCCAGAAAATTATCCATCATCTTCAGGATCACGCAAAGTGAATGTGTAAATACATAAAATTCCCAAATACAACATGGTTTCACATAAATGTGAACAAGTGAGAAAGGTACCCGGGCTCCAATACAATAAATGATCAAAGAAAAACATGTGATAGAACAATTTGCTTTCATTAAAGATACTCTAAGTATTCTCTCCCCAGGAATCATTAGAAAGGAATGATTAAATTCTTCTTCAGCCCTGCAGAAAAAAGTAATAATAAAATACCGACTTGTTTATATAGACCCTACAGTGCAATTTTTTTCTGCACTGCTGCAGGGCTGATCAGCTCACTAGAAGAAGCACAAGTTAAACTAGTCAAAACTGCAGAATGTTTTCAGAACTAGAGGTGTCTGATGAAAAGATCACTCTTTGAAATGGTGCCTTCTCTAGAGATGGAAACACAAAGGAAGTTGAAGACTCGTGGTAAGGCAGCAAACACAATCCAGGTACACACACAGAAGCGACGAAGCAGCAATGGATGCCTCCCCTTCTGTACAAATTTTCCTGGTACTGTTACCAAGAGGCAATATTGGAATGAAACAGAACCATTTCAGAATGCAAAAAAGCTGCTTATGTCTCACAAACAAGAAATAAATCCACTCCTCATATTAAACTAACCTCACATTCTGGGCAAAACCAATCCCCCTCTGGTTCCGCTGTCAGTTTCAGACACTTAGCATGATAAACCCGAGGACAGAGTTCACAGCAGAGGACTTGGCCTTCCCGATGACAAACCCAGCAATAGAAATCATTCCGTCCATCCTGTGGTACAACATCAACAGGGTCTGTGGTGAGTGGCTGCTTCATATAGTAAAACGGACCATGTCTTAGTTCTGACTGAAATGTAGGCAAGAAAAACAGGTTTGGTTTCAAAACAAATTTGCATTTTTCAAATAATAATATTCATAATATATAAGCAAACAGCAGTTTACAGCATTTGATTAACACTTATGCAAGCACAGTATTTTATTCATTGCACAAAATCTTTCATAAAGAAGTTTATTTCTTATTCAGATTTTCAAATGCCAGTTTACGCTCAAGACTGAATATAAATTTTGTGGCAAGTGAGGGCAGAGTGCAAGACATGCAATCCAACAAAAGTCAGTAAACACTGCTGGGTTCAAGAAAGAACTATTGCTACGGAAGCAATTAGGTCCTTTAAACTCAGAATTCCATGGGGCTGTGCAAGCTAAATACTGAGATATTTAGTGATGGCTAAACCTGGGACAACTGAAGAAGTTAGTCCTGAAACAAGAAGTTGAACACCATGCAAATCTGTCCTAAGTTGTAGCAGTTCACAACTTTGTACAATGAAGCAAGCCAGTATTGACTTTGACTAATAAGGCAAACTGTAGAGTAGGATGACAAAGGAGCAAGTTCACATCCTGAACAGCCACCTCTGCTACAGGAGCAGGAACACTAGGAGAGATTTAATCCACCATTTAAATGCGTATCAGAATTTAAGACTCACGATCTCCACTGGTTTGCCTGCACTAGAAAACAGCGTTAACTTTGTAAACTACATGAACTAGTCTTCCACTTGAGCCCACCAGCTCCAAGATGACACAGCTGATGCCAAAACACAAGAAGCAAAGAGCCTAGGATGGATAAAATGGGTCCCCAGACACCTAAAGTTTGTTAGAACAGCTTTGAAGTGCTGCTGACATTTCTTGAAAAACTACATTCTATTTATTAATGACAAGGAAACTTAAGTTTTCTGTTTGTTATTAATTATAGGGGTGTGCTGCTGAGGAAGGCATGGAGGGAAACAATCGAGTTTTAGGCAGTTTATTTACTGTGATTTTCTTGTTTGATGTAAAATCATTTGCTCATGACATTACTTGTAACTATTCAAATATTTGTAATTTGCAGAACCATTTTGTTTGGTTTGCAGGTAGTTTTGCATGCGTCCTGCACCATTTACACATCTGCAAGTTCCTAGACCCTTGAGCTGTCACATGCCCACGTGGCTCATAGAACAGTGCAAGCACATGCATGTTCCATAACTTTGCAGCATCCTGTATGAAATTAGTCACACAGGGCATAAATTAATGTCACCAGAAACCACCAGCATGCCAGCTTGGACCATGATATTTCTAAATTTCTAAAATTACAAAGGACAAGGGCTAATTATTTGCATGAATAGAAGACCTTCAAGTCAAATTAGATGGCGCAGAAGTGATAACCCAGATGAAGATGTTATATCTCAACAGATACACCAGAAGAGATATCATCTGCAATTATCTAACACTGTATAATATTTTAGGCAAAGAAAGGATGTTACTCACAAACATTCCCAAAGCATTCCGCTACCTAAAACTTCACTTAAATTTCTATCAGTTTTGGTGGTGTTTTTTTTCTATTTTACAGATGATACAGCTACTAATAAAAAGATACTTTGTTCCCATCACGGAAATGGGCAAAGCATTATTTTCTGTACTTTCTCTGTGTATATATTTAATCACATGACAAGACTCAGAAGGAAGGTTCTGCTAGATCCTGCGGAATAAGAGGGGGAGCATAAGGCTTTTAGCTACATTTCAAATGTATTACTACTACAATCAAACAGGTACAAAACCCAGGGTGAAGAAGGGAAAGTTACAATTTACAGTGTAGAAACATGTTTTGTTTGCAGCTATATGCAAAATAGCTCAACAGTGATGGAGATGCAGCTATGGGGCATTTTCTCAACTGCAGATAAAGGAAATTACCAGAATAATTTAATACATATTCTGACTTTGAAGTGCGTATAAGCAGTTCATCCAGACTAACTTCCTAAGAATCAAAGATACTGCTTTAAGACAAATACAAAACCTGTGAAACTATTCCACAGAAATCAGCTCGTAACATCCAAACTGAAGTCCCTTTTTGCCAGAGCATGAGAGGAATTAATTTTCTGTTCAAGGATGTTTTTGAACATTTATCAACTTATTTTGTCTAAGCCAAGTTTAAAAAAAAAAAAAAATAAAATAAAAAATGGTTCTGAGACTGAAAAAAAGACCCAAAGAACAAAACTAAAGGATGGAAAATGAATGATTCAACTGCATCAAAAGACCTTTTCACTTGTTCTAATGAGAGTAAAATGTTTTAAGTGTTTAAATTTTAAGTTATGAAAGAAAAGCTTTGTTTCCTCAATTGTTTCACAACTAGCCAATTCAAGCTCAAACAGGTGATAGCTTGTTTAAAAGTCTTTTTTAAAGTTCTTAAGACTTGTAGAACAACATAGAAAACTGAAGAAAAAACAACAGTATTTTAGTACTCTTTTGGGGAGAAATAGATCATTATTTATAGTCAGTTTAAATTAATATTGAAGCTAGTAGTAAAACAAGCTGACCACTTCAATTGCATTATAACTGACCAATTAAGTGTCAGAAGTTCCTGATTTTTAACTTGTCATAGCTACATTCTACAATTCCATAATTCTTTGCTTGTATTTCAACACTTTAAATACCTGTTTGCACCATTCTGAAGATTTGTTACTGCATCCACAACATGTAATACGAAGCTTCATGCAACCATAACTTTAGTTTGAAACACTCAAATATTACAAAACACTTTGTAATATAGAATATTACAAGAAGGTTTCCAGTGATGTTGTCGTACCTCAAAATGGATTTATCAGCCAATTAGAACCACAGCTATTAGCTACATTATACTTGAAACTTAACCTGAGAGCAAAACAAGTAACTGTACGCTTAACTCTCTGTTCAACACTAACAGAATCTTTAACAACTCCTGCTACCATACAGAGCAGTTTTGCAACTACTTTAGAAACCATAATCTTCAGACATGCCCATTTCAAATTTGACACACAAGAAAATATTAAATTAAAAGCAACTTCTAAAAGCTAAGCAAAACTAAACAGATATTTTCTTGCTAAATTGCAACAAATAAAGCAAAATAAGCAAGTCTGATTGTTCTTCATTAGATATACAACTTTATTCTATCCTGTAATATTTCAGGTCTGAGATACCTGGAAAACAGAAAAGGATTTACCAAGGGGAATGTATCAAGTTCAACAACTGCAATTGTGTTTTCACATACATTTTTAAATGCATGAATAAAAAATGGAAATTAATACGCTAAACTTCAATTCCACTGTTGGTAAAATTATCTCTGCATTGCACAGTTAGAAGGTCAGCCTTCAGTGGGGCTATATCTCCACAGTAAACATCCAGGATATAGAATTTATAGAGCCTGCCATGAAGCTCAGTAAAAGCCAAACTGGACACATTAAACTAGTGGAAGCATGCCTACACATGCTATTACTAGACCTCCCAATTATCCTTTAATAAAATACACTTGACACTGTAAGGCCTGATTTATTCACAGTCTTTGTCCCTGGACAACTGCAGTGATTATGAATTTCATTTTCTTTCTTAACCAGTGCAATTCTATCAGTATAATATTTAACGTGGATACTGTTACAGCAGAAAAAAAGTGCTCCAAACACTCAGAACTTAAACTTGTGTTTATATCATACTGGCAAAAAACACTGACGCACATAAGCACTTTGAAAAACACACAGCCATGTCATTATTAAATTAGATGAGAAATAATTTTAGTAAAGCTAAAAACTGCTTTCATATAATCTCCTCCAAGATGATGCAGGTGCTTTATGGCTTCATATAGTTCTTTCACTTGCATCATACAATGAATCAGAAATGTCAAAGTCTTCTGGAGTCAAGTTCTTCTAAGAATTACAAAGAAATGCTATAAATTCAGTATTCAGAGACACTGAAAATAAGGTTTCAAGCATAAAGACTGAAAAGTAGCGTCAGCGTGACCCTTTAACTACTTTGGTAGGAATGTACACTGCCCAGCAATCTAAAGGAAAGGGAGGGAATCTGCAAGGAAGGAGCTGGACTTTTGTTAATAATTCACAATAGGACTGAAAGCAGATTAGGGACTTCGACCAACATTATGAGATCTTTCTTAATCTAGGATATCATGCCACTGAACATTTCTTTTTAATGGTTGTAATTAATAACAGCTATTATTGTTGTTATTGTATTCCTTCATAATCCTTTTGTTCAAAATTGCATTTATTGGTTATACATCTTATTAGCTTTATGAAATCAAAAATAAGAACACAGGTGATCTTTCTCATACAGATGTAAAACAAAAATAAACAAACATCCAAATCCAACTTACAATGCCAACTCCTACACCCGCTGGATTCAAAAATTAATATCCATTTCTTAGAGTACAAAAATGGAGCTTCGTAAAGAGGAGAGAGCTCCTGATCAGCTGTCTCTACAACCTTCATTGTTTCATATTCTAGCATAACAAGACCAAGACCTCTCTTACCTGCTCTTTATTATTACTGTTCAATAGACCAGGTTTCTTTTTCTTTTTTATAGGACTTGTTGATGCATCTTGTGGTGAGTGGCCATTAGAGGAATGTGGAGGGCTGGGAAATTTCCTTTTTTGTGCTGTGCGTTCGGCAGAGCCAGGATCTATAATAGATACAAACAATATGGTTGAAGACTGCATAACAATGAAAAAACATCCAAACAAGGTTACGGTTCGTCATTCACACTCCTTCACTGAACAGAATAAAAATTCTAAATTGCCTTTCACCCAGTCACTGACAAAACTGGAAGCACACACTTGCTAAGCTATGCCACTGTTAAGTGCATTCTCAATATAGTAATTTAGATTAACATTAGATTTTTTTTTCTTTTCCCACAGCATTCTAGACATTCATATAATCTCAATTTTTAGTATCTTTTAAAGTGTAAGAACAACTGTTTCTGTAGTTTAGCAAAGCGCTATGCTAATTTGTTATACACTTTAAAAGCAGAGAAACAACATTAAGAGTTCCTGACAGCTTCGCTCACATAATTCAGGAACATAAGCAACGAAGTTAAAACATGGTAAGAGAAAAGTCAGTCCACATAATTTATTTCTCATATTTAAATAAACTTATTGAAATACGTCAACAGAAAAATTAAATTGTCCTATAATCTGAAAATAAATATGCTACCTCAAATACTTAGTCATTTGTAGTACCTGCTAAATTGGATTGCAAAAAGATAAAATTAAGACAAAACTCCCAGTCAAGTAATAACTTCTCATAGCAAGACAGAGCAGCAGAAAGTGGCACAAATTTTCAGTGTCTCTCACAGTCAGAGTTCTCACATTCAAACCAGCAAATTGCAAGAGCAGTTTAATAAGTCACAGCTGCTGTCTATACCTGAAGAAGGGAGCATGTGCTTGTGTATCAGTTGCTCATGGATTGTCATCTTTGTGTAAACTCATCAACGTAACTAGCCCTGGTGGCTCTGAACTGCATTTTATGAAATGTGCAAAATTTTTTTAAAAAGTTGAAGGAAACTGAGACATAGTTCTATCAAATTAATATCTATTATGATGATCTTCATGTCTGCTTCACTCCTTCAATTATGCTAAACTATCTGATTTCTTCAAAGATTTTTAATTCTTATTTTTTAACTTGGTCACTATTTTGTGTTCATTAGAATATTCAGTAGGAATTATTTACAGCCTTAAAAGAGTTAATACACTTAAAAAAAAAAAAAAATCACTGACAAGCTTATCAGGAATATCCTAGATAAAAATAAGAGCATTTGCAACTTCATTTTCTCAGAACAAAATTTAAATTATTCCTAATGAATGTGGGATGCTCAGCTCAATTATAAAGAACTTACTGACATTTTTCAAAAGATCAAGTATGCAACCAACTGTAATAGACAATCATAGAACACAATACAAGTGAAAGTTCTACAGAGTTGGTTTAACATGCTTAATTTTCCTTAAGCTTTTAATGCATGCAACAAAACAAGATAAAACCATAGGGATCAGAAGTCATCAATATCATAGAGAAACAACTGAACACTCCCAAAGTCATTCCCATATTTTCAATCTCCTACTCACATGTACTACAGCGAAAGTTTTGCGGCTGCACGCTAAACAATTGAGGAATAAAACTTGTCTAAAAAATAACTTTTTTCTGATTTTTTTTTCTAGGACTCCATTCACTGCACAGCTACACAAATGTTTGTAATGCATTCGGTGAAGCAGTTATACCAGATGGGAACACATAGAAAGAAGGAGAAATGCTGCTTTTGGTATTAATGCCACCTTAAAGTTGTTGTGTTGTTTGTTTGGGTTGGTTTTTTCCCCAAACATCAGTGTTTGGCAACTGTTTGACAGAAGCCAGAGCAATCAAACTGCCAGTTGCCATGATTCTATACCCTTTCCCTCCTGGTCTGTATTTTTGCCTTCCAGGCCTCACTGGCTGATGGGCTGAGCTGTCTTAGGTTGCCAAGTCACAAAAACCTCACTGAAACACTTCAGCTGAAGTCTCTAAAGAACAACAGAGGTACCAGAACAACCACCAGTAAGTAACTGGATCAACTTATCAGCATGTCTTTTGTCAATAGATTTAAACTAACTATAAAAAGGTCCACCAAAAAATACTGAAAGTTCCCCAAATAGGAAAAAAAAAGTGAAAACCACAGCACTAGACCATTTCGCATAGGCAGCTGACAAACATCTTTCTCCCACAAATGCCTCCAAACCTGGCTTTTAACTATTGAATGAGACAATTTTGTTGAGCTACAACATTCCTCTCGGAGTGATTTTAACACATTTAAAGAGTCTCGCACACAATATGGCCACCAACACTTTCTCATTAGACAGTCATACAAGTGAGCTAGTAAACCACCGTTTAGCTTAAAACTGTATTCAGAATAAAGTCCTGTCAAATTGAAAAGTTACACTGAATCGCCTTGAAAAGTAAGGTAATTTGTCACATGGCACAAATCTTGAAGGGTCTATGGCACAATAAAGAACTGGATTAGATTTCTAAATTATTTCTGTATTTTGTGCAAATATGGAGGGCAAACAGTCAATAAGAAGAAAAAAAATTGGCTACAATAACAATTTGCACAAATGGAGATCAGATTAACTACCTACATGCTTTTCTCTAAATGGAAAAAAAGTATTTGGAACAATAGTTAAGCATGAACTGACTATGAGGAAATTTTTTTCTGTTGTGAAAAAGGGCAAATTATGTATCACTCCTATTTTTACATTGGTATAAGACGCAATCTTGATGTTAACCTTAGAATTCTTGTATATATGCTTAAGTTTATTGAAAATAATGTATTATTTAGTGAAAAGAGTGAAATGATGTCAAGAAGACATGCAATTATTAACATAGCAAAACATTTTTTAAAAATATGCTCCAAAAACCCCACAATACCACTAAAGCTCATGATGCAAGCTCAAGAATTAATCTGAAAAGATATTTCTAGACTAAATTGCTTTTCAAGAACATATGCTATTTACATGTATGGAAGAATATATAAAGAAAGATTGAAAAAAGTGTAGTGGAAGAACTTATCCTGTGCCAGAAAAGTTGTAGTAGTTTACATTAATTTGTGAAAATACCAATCTTACCTATGATAATTAGCATCACACTTTTTTCAAATGGGTCCAGACACGAGAGATGTAAATGTTACTACTCAGCAGTGAACATTACCTTTTTTTTTTAGTTTCTAAAGCTTTTAAATTTTTTCCCCCAAAATATAGAACTGCACAGAAAAAACCCATGGTTTTGATTTCTTTCTATACAATTCTATGGAAAACATGGTGTTATATGGTATCTTCTGATTGAACAAAAGCTCGGTAACATGTCAAAATAGCAATTAAGAATCAAGAAAACTATAAATAAATATGAAAAACATATGGAAAAATAAATAGAAGAAGATATATCTGAGAGAAAGAAAGGAAATGTATGAATATTTTCCCATCCTGAGTTTTATTCATCTAGAATAGCAGCACCAGGCTAACACCACACATAATTTCAACAATGCTAGGAAAAGTGACTGCCACTAGAGTTATATAGGCACAGCTATTTGAGTAGGGATGCCTAACAGAAAGGTAGTATTGGGTCTCAGAGAAATTTTTCTGTTGACATAAGTTATAAAATTTTGGCAAAATGTAATTAAGATGGTTTAAACAAGCACACACAAACTTCTCGTGTTTTGAGTTTTCTTTGACACAAAGAAACGTAATTTTTTTTTTCCCCTTTGCACCCTTCCTCTTTTATACTTGTAGGCAGCATTTAGGATCAGTTATATTCTGACATGCCTAGGCTGAATTAAACCAATATAATGTGTCTGACACCATTATTGTTACTTATTTCAATTCAAGCAAATCTGCCACCCACTCTGTTTAGGCCAAAATCTAGATTGATTTGACAATACAAAGAATTGCCAGGTTAGGTATGTCACCTAAATGTGTGAAAAATATAAATATCTGCTTTCTCCCTGCAACTATGACATTAAAAATCCTAATACATGTACATCTATGCTGACAGAAGACACGGGGTTTTTTTTCAGTTTAGCTAATTATGCACAGAAGGTGGCAGAAGAACTCTTTTGGCTGGCATATGCTTCATATATCCAATAGAGATGAGCCAATACAGCTATCTTGGAAGAAACACTGCAGCATCAGCTAAAGCAAAACCCACAACTTAACCAAAGTGATCAAACGTAAAACCAAAACAAGCTCTGAATTCTACTTTTTTCATTAAAGTAGAACAGAGCTTATTCAGCATGAGAACTGTTTGCATTCAGAGTGATCAGCAAAACCAGCTCAACCATAACTTTTCTCATCTTTCCATCACTACGTGGCTCAAAACAGCTTGTATAAGCCTTTGTTTCTTTATTATAATTTGCAGTTCTCAACAGAGACTTTCCATACATTCCTAAAGGCAGTCATAAGTAAACTACTCTTACTGTGAAGTAGTGACTATGCCTTAATCTTTGTTTTCCCAATGCAGAGAGATTTGCAGAATTGTCTCTCTACAGCAAACAACATCCTCAAAGTACTTGCAAGGATCTCTGAGCCTCTTTATCTCCAGTAAATAAAGCCCTCACCATAACTCACTGAAGAGACTTAGGCTTTTATTTCCAAATTGTACATATGCAAGCACAGCTTAAACCAGAAGGGTAACACAAAAATATAGTTTTCTGGTCTTTGGCTTCCATTTTTCACTCCCAGGCACAAAACTGCCACCAGTGGAGCTTCTCTGTTTCCTTTCTTCAGCCTCATATTGTGGTGTTTACAAAGAAGCTGCCTATGACACTGTGCATTATGCCTTGGCTCTAAGTATGAAAAAAGAAAATCAGACGTAAAGTTCCTCATCATTGGCCTGCCCCTATAATGTGATGCTTCTCACCTTTAAATGCTGTTTTTTTCCTAAGCTGATTCAGGGTCAGGAAAAGGGGTTAAAACTGTTATTAGCTAAACCAGAACTCAATTACAATTCAGTCACAGGCAAATCCAAACTACACTTCAACAGAAAAGGTACAGATTCAATTCTGATTTAACCAAATGATCACACAGACATATATGCTTGGTTAAGTGAAATAAAAAACTACTTAACTAGCGTAATTTTCTTCCGTGGTTCAAGCCTGAGCATACC